TACTGTTTAGCTTCTCATGGCATATGCTCCTATTAAATTGGATGGAGGAATAGGTGGTTTCAGAATGTAGTTAAAGCTGAATAAAAGAAATATGGATGGGAACTTTTTCCAAGTTTTGGCGTAAAGTTCCCCTTTGGCAACAAAAGCTTGTGTATCTTTGGAATGTGTCCTAAAATCTCTTTAGTGATCAGCCAGCTACTTGCCCGCTAGAGACTAGGAAATGAAGTTCCTCCTTTGGTGTGTGTATGGTATGGAGGAAATTTTATCATTTTCCATGTTTGGTTGGACACATTTTGGAGAAGATTTTCTCTAGGAAAACAAGTTCCTTACAAAATGAGGAAAATGACTTCCTTAATGGAAGTAGGGAAAACAAGTTCTATAAGTGACTTATGTTTATTGTATCTTCTACACCCAACGCCCTCAACCACTGGATGTGACATTCCTTCGTGTCACATGGAACTGTTCTCTTATGTATAGTGCCCTGCATTTACTTTAGTACGTTGTTCAATTATTTCTTCTCTGCTATAAGCCTATAACTGTGATGTCGCAACACAACGGATTTTGAAAACAATTTTTTGGTGTTGGTGAAAGAGCTGTCATAAGAACTGGACAGAAGACATTGAACTAGTAATCTGGTTGAACTATACCTGTTTGGGTCTAAAATTTGCTTGAACTAGCAATCTGGAAGAGGTATTTGGCCTCAACAATTGAGTTGTGTTGTCTACTAGAAAATGTAGGAATTTGTTATTCCAAGTATGAACCTCCGGAAGAAGGCAAGTAATCTGAAAGATGAATAACGCTTAAGAAAAACATGCATTACATTAATTTCAGCATATATGCACCCCTAAAATACCCGTCTTCTTAATGCTAAGGACTTTCAAAACCTAGAGGTGAAGTGTGTGCAGTTAATTCTGACACATAATTTACTATCATCATATGGTTTAGATTTTAGGAAGAGGTTCTTGCAATTTCAATCTCTACTTGGTTTATTTTTGAGATGATACTGACTGTTGGTTTCTAACAGTCGGAACAGGTTCTTCGATTTTGTAATTTTGTCGCCAATATAATCGGGACAGAATATTTTGGAGGCATTGCTAAAGAATTAGTTGGAGTGTTTTGTCAATAACTCAATATTTTAAGCCTATGACAGACCTTTGTGGTGTTCCTCCATGCAGGTGTGCTACCAAAGTATTTCAGCTCTGAGTGGTCTGTGGCGCAGTTCCGCTTGCAAGAAGGTCTGCAGCACATTGTGGCCTTCGGTCACCAAAAGAATACGGTTGTGATTCTTGGCATGGATGGAAGGTAAGGGTGTCCTCGTATCATTTTTTAACGTTGTCCAACTTTTGTGACAAGTGAATCACATCTTTGGAAGTTCATCTATTAATGCTTTGATGAATTGGAATGCAGTTTCTACCGATGCCAGTATGATGCAGCAACTGGTGGGGAGATGACCCTGTTGGAACATCATAGTTTCTTGAAGTCTGAGGAGAACTTCTAACTTGGGAAGCTCGCTGGATGCATGCTACCCTTCTTGTGTGGCTTTTGTTTTTACTGTATCTATTTATAATTTCGCAGGTGGACATGGTAGTGACTGTATATAAACATAATCCAAAAAAGATGTACATATATATAAAAGATGAGAACTGGCGGCTTTTGTTACAACCTTCTGGCTGTATTTAGGTTACTACTGTGTCGTCGTAGTACACTGAAGTATTGTTATGGACATGCTTGTCACGTAGTGCTGAAGTATCTATCTAGTTATTTGTCTGGCTCCTTCTGTTTCTCTATAAAAGCTATGGCCAGTACATGAGGCTGCGCGTATATTATTAGTGGTTTCTGCTGAAATTATCGTCTACACTTGCACTTCCTAAAAGCTAAATACAGACATGGCGACTATAAAGTTCCAGCAACACAGAAAGCAAACATCAGGGAATGGTTGTTTAATACCGTCAATTTATAGTGAATGTAACGAGTTTTCGTTTTTATATATATCAACTCTTTCAATTTTTTAGTCCACAGTCTAGGACAAAACACGCAGACTGTCTTCACATTTTAGCCGTAAATAAAGGTAGAGACGTCTATAATCCAAATTTACTTAATAAACAGTCCTAACTTGGAGAGCTTAAGTATAGGAAGGTGATGACTGGAATAGCAGTCATGATTATCCTAGCAAAAAAAGTGGCTCATGTGCTTGGAGGAGCCAACTTTTAACAAAACAATAAAGTCCATCTCTGCCATACAAATGGCACTCTAGCAAAAATACTTCTAGGCAGGTATTCTTTGGAACATGATGTTCATGAACTCCGCTTGTGACAAATTACTGAATGGTGTAATCTCTCCACTTTTTCTCCTTTTAGAATGTACATGTACACAATAACTTATGGTCCTGCAAGGTGCTTTGTACCTCCTTTTACCTTTATACCACAAACAGGCATCCCATAAAAGAGAATTGATGGACTTGCAAAAGATGGCTCTAGTGGCAGCCTTCTTTCTGTTTTGACAATTCCACCTCTTGTTTCGCCCATCTTGGCTGCTGACCAACACGAAGAAGAAAACAAAGATACATATCAGCTGCATGCACAGTTTCTACTAGCACAGGCTCTTAGTAATACGCCTTTGGCGCTACTCCAAGTGCTAATTTTTTGTGTAACAATGGTCCATTGGGTCTAAACAGGCAACAAGAGCCCCAGAGTAACCTGACAATAATCCATAGTCTGATTTTCAGGATCAAATTAATGGTCCAAGAGGTGCCAGACAAAGGATCTGCACCTACAGACAAACAAATTGAAGGAGCCTAGGGGACAGCATGTGTAGCTTATTTATTTCATTAATCTGTACTCTAAATAGCACATATATAGCAAAATATAGATATGGTTGGCACTTAGTGATGAGACATATCTGTACTGCATATTATAAGATTGACTCGGAAGCAAAAGAAATGTTTCCACTGTTACATTGGATGCAAAATATTCTCCAGAGGGCGGAAAAATGAAACTTGTACCCTAGCCATACTGCAGTGATAAACCAAGAGAAAGTGTTCACTTCTTTCTCCCAAGTGCAATGGTGGTATCATGTTAAGAAACGAAGGATCCTATCCTATAAGGTGTCTCAGTAACTCTACTGTAGTTGCATCAAATGAGAAGTTCTTTCAGTCATCTCCTATAAGAAAGCCTTTGTTTCACTAAATTTCTTACCTCAGAGAAATCCACGCACAATTTTCTTCACAAAATCCTTGATCATTATATTACTACTATATGTTATCACATTTGATGCAAACCTATAAAATATCTTTGTTGTAATCCCCTACCCCCAATTAAAAATAAAAATAAAAAGAGAGAGGGAGACAATCGGAAAACAACAAAGGAACAGTAGCACTCACTTGACACTTCCTGCTGGAACATGCATTTATCCAGTTGAATATCCCGACAAGAAGTTGCTCTTTACAACGAAAAATATCTTCCCCAAACGAGGGATTAAATTAACATCAGAGCGCTTTAAGATTCTACAGGGGATAGGTGAAAACAAGGTGGTGGTTAGGTAGAGCTATATCATCTGTTATGGAAGTTTGATCATCAAAACTTGCTTCTTTTGAGGAGGTACCCCACCTGGAATCAGACTTTCCTACTGATAGAGGACTACAGAGACGATGATGCAAACAAATTATTCGGAGGTTGCTAGTTTTGATGAAATGACCTAGGCACAACTTTGTAACAAGCATTCCTGCAATGGAAGGGAAGGAAGAAATATGAAGGAGTGGAGATATCACCCTACTCATGTTTATTGTCAATGTATTATGGTTTCATGAGTAACTGATGTAATGGGACTAAATGAAAAATTAGCTCTCTACTCTTTTGACATTTTACTCAGTCTAAACTTCCATCCATCTAGTGGTAGCTTGAGTAGTAAAGACTTGAAAGAAACTGATGTACCTTGTTCTATCCATGGAATAGCAGACGTAAAACTTGCCACAAATTTCAGTAACCACAAAAAAGAACACTAGCAAAAAGGAAAACAGATGCCAGATATCCCTGAAGAGAAAAATAAGCTACAAACCAATGTACTTTACAGTACTAAAAGTGAAATCAATCATTAATCAAAGTCCAAGATCACTATGTTCAACAAAATTGCAAGGAACAAGGAAGAACACAACAGTTAAAAAGGTCGCAGAAATTTTTCCTTTCTCAACAATAATCCAAGTTTCCCCAGTACACTTTATTAGGCAAGGTCATCCACATTTGATCGGTGGCACATAATTTATACAGAGAATTATGAGCAGCTACATGCTCTGCTCATATACTTCAAAACAATATAATGACTAAGCCGAACCCAGGATGAACCTTGTTTGAAGTGCCTTGTTTTGCAATCTTTCAAAACAATATAATGACTAAGCCGAACCCAGGATGAACTCAGAATATAAATCAGTACAGACGACGGTCCCTGCAAACATCAAGTACTACTAATTGCTACAAAAACAATAAGCTTACAAACAATCCAATGCCCTCCCTTCTGCCCTTCACATCTATGCTTACTTCTTCAAAACTGGAAGAGAAAGCAGCCAATGGGATGGCAAAATCCAATGCTAGAAACAACATTGTACACACTATTCCGGGACGACTGACCCTCGGATTACAAGAACTCTTCAAATGAAATACTGAACGAAAAAGTAAACCACAATATTTCAAAGAAAATATAAATGGGACGTATGAAAAGTTTTCTGAACTAAACTAGAAATTTAATCACAAGTAACAGATATGTTATTTATTATACAAACAAATGAGTATACAATGTTACACCACAAAAAAAACAGCTATAGATAAATGAATTGTTTTGACCAGACTTTGAGTTATAACGCAAGGACAAAAAACCTCAATATAGAATCCATGGATTTTAGTCATTCATTCTATCGTTCTACATTTTCAAATTGACAAGGGAAGCTATACTAAATTTCAGCTTATAATCAAACCAGACAGTGAACACAAAAGAGCTGACAGGAGATGATATGGTAGAAAATGAGATAATTTCTATTATATTTCCAAGCACATTACACCAAGGTTATAAAAACCATAACAGAAATCTACGTCCTACTGCTAGAAGTACCCATAAACTAGACAAAAGATTTGACGCATATTTAACCCGACAATGAAACTTCTAAATGAGACTTATGCCTTCTTCGGTGACTTTCCTGCCTTAGCTTTAGGTGACTTCTCCTCGGCAACTGCCGATTTCTTAGGCAACAGAACTGGGTTAATGTTAGGAAGAACACCTCCACTTGCAATTGTAACACCAGCCAACAATTTTCCCAACTCCTCATCATTCCTCACTGCCAAAAGCACATGCCTAGGAATGATTCTGCTCTTCTTGTTGTCTCTTGCCGCATTTCCAGCCAACTCCAACACCTGTACAACAGAAAACACCGCAAATCAATACAAAATCACAATCTGCATAGTCAACAGAAAATTACGGATCTGAGCATAAAAATCAAATGGGTTTGTTGATTTATGTGTTTTCGTACCTCAGCAGCAAGGTATTCCAGAACAGCAGCGAGATAAATAGGAGCACCAGATCCTACACGCTGAGCATATCTACCCTTCTTCAAGTATCGACCAATACGACCGACTGGAAACTGAAGGCCAGCTTTGATTGACTTGGTGACGGACTTCTTCCTTGGGCCACCCTTTCTCCCTCCGGCACCTTTGGTTGTCTTAGTAGCATCCATTGTTGTGTGAAGTTAAGCTTAAAGAGAGTATTACAGAAGAATGCTTTGAATACTTAGATTGAGATTTGAAAGCTGATGAGAAAATCAAAAAGAAGAGTTTATTATTTATAAGGTTGAGATGAGATTGCCACGCTGGCGATCCGCGTGAGGAGCATCTAATTTTAACGATGCGGATTCGTTTTCTTTCAATCCAATCTAACGGTTATAAAAAGATGAAAGGATAGCGATCCTTGGCTAACGCGAATAGCCAATTATTTAGTGACACGTGTTTCTGCTTAAGTGAATTGGTGGAGTAAGAGGTAAAACCGCGCGCGGGGATTTTGAATTTTCGTAAATTTTATTTGCAATTATATGATTTCTAATAAATCCCAACTCCTATTTTATCTTGTAACACCTTCGAATTAAAATTAAGGAAATCCTAATTTATGGTTATATGATTCATATATCATTAAAAAAAAAATTAATGATGGATTTAGAGTCGGTATAAATCAATTAATTTTAAGTGTTCTTAAACTAAAATTAATTTTCAAAAATTTTATATGTCTGGTAAAAATAAAAAAGTGTAGCAAAAACAAATTTCATAAATCAAAATACATAAATTATAAAATTTAAACACTCACTTTATTATTTTTAGCTTATAAGTTTTCTTAGACAGACTTATAATGCATTACGTATCGTATCTGAGTTAATTTTGTATATTGCTTTTGTTTTATTTATTTGGTTGGATTGTTATTTTTATTTAATAAATATATAATGAATTAAACAACTTATTGAGCAATTTAACCATATCTTCAAATAATGGTCGGGAAGAACTTATTATTTTATACTGTATAATTTAATTTACTGGAAAATCAATTCAGCTCATATCTTCAAGTAGTGGTTGAGAAGAACTTATTTTTTTATTCTATATAATTTAATTTACTGGAAGATCATAGTGTATCAATTTGGTTCAAGTTGTTCAATCAATATTGGCAAGTGATATACTACGTATGTTTGACTTAACACCCATAGACATATTGCATAATTGAAATATATACCTCTCATAATCTGTAAAAATATACATTAACAATATGCATATTTAAACTTAATGTATTAGACATGTTTATACAATTTGTTGATGATTAAAAAGAAAAATTCTATATTGTCTCAGCAATAGAATTTGGATAATTCAAAAATATTATCAATCTTTGGAGGGTGGACATAGAATTGTATGATATTTAGGTGGTTGATGTTGTAGAATTGATGGGATAAGGATCACTAAATCGATATCCATGCTGCGACTATTTGCACTGGAAAAGAGTAAACATTTGTGATAGATTGGCCAGTGGGGAATGAACATAGATTTGCAATGTGAATTTTGCAACACATTGCTCAGGAGTTATACTTCAGGGCCAGCCTGAAAACTCAAAATAGGCTATATATGTTTGGATTTTAAAAAGGTATGAATGGAAAATGAAGAGTTGCGACTTTTATGAAGAGTTGTGACTTTTATGAAATGTTGCGACTTTGATGAAAAGTTGTGACTTTAATAAAAGGTGACGACCTTTCTGAAAGATTGTGACTTTTTCAAAGATTTGTGACCTTTCCGGTAAGGCACAATAAGAACATTTTCGCACTATCCTTTGTTTTCTATAAATTGAGGGATTTCCTCTCATTTTGATATAGAATTTATGGACTTCTTCTTCAACTACTAAATCTAGTATTCTAAGTGTACTTTACTGCCGTTGAGTGGTTCGCTGACACCGGAGTTTTTGGTATCTATACTCTGGTGATTGAGATTATTTTACCCTGGGAAGTCATATTCCAAATCAAACCTGGGATACTAAAGGGGAATAATTTCCTTAAGGGGACACTGTGAATTCAGTGGACTTGATATTTTTCCTATTAAATTTTTTTCAGATTCTGGTACATGTTTTACAAACTTTAGATTTGTAAATTAATTTCATTTCTTCTATTCTTTTGTTCTTCACTGGTTCATTAAACTTGATAACTTCGTGTTTCTGCATAGTTTGTTGGAATCAGTAAGATTCTTTAAACACATATTTACAACAAATCTTCTTAAGAAAAGTATTTCGTATATTATTTTTTAAAATCTGTTTCTGATTCTAGTTTCGCTACTAGTTTTAATTTTCTAGTTGTGAAAATATTCTTAAACTTTATTTTCTTACAAAGATATTCAAAATTTTGTTCGAATATCCAAAGGTTTAGATGTTATTAATAGCCTAGTTGAAAGAGGAGATAGATGCTAAGATAGTCATGAGTTAGGCATGTCCAGACATTTATGTCTTTTTTAAACTTGAGTTGTAATTATCACTTGGTAATAAAAATACTTTATTTACCAAAAAAAAAACAAAAATCAATAACAATCTTTTTTATAGTGGTGACTTGGCTCGAGACATCTAAAAGTTTACTTGTAGTTTTAATTGTGTCAACTATAAATACATTTTTATATATTATTTTCTATTTATTAAAAGTTGAGTCCAAAAATTTATTTACAACTATAAGAGTAAATATATATATCTTTATTGTATCATTGACTAATGAGTAATTTTCATCAAATTTTTTGACGATACCAATATATATACACACATACATTTAGTATCAGTTAAGCAAAATTATCAACCTTAATTATATCAATACGATATATGATACTTCTTTGGTAATAGTTAAGCGAAATTAGTAGGGGATATATAATGTAATTATTTAGTGGGGCATGAATGTAAGAGAGTTTATATTTGTAATATTTTACTTTTATAAGATAGTTGATTGATTTCCTCTAAAATTAAATAAGTTGAATTCTTAGAAGTCCAACCGAACGTATTTTTATTTGTTACTTAATGTTTTGTATTTTAAAATAATAGGATTAAAATTTTGGTGGTGAAAATTATTTTATGAGCGTTATAAAATAAAGCATGTGTAGTTTTATGAAATGACAAAAAGAAAATGAGAAACATAAATACACAAATGAGTAGTAGTAACTTTTATTTATTGTTGAACGTTTTTTCTTTTCAATTATGATTGTCTATGTGTTGTCTTAAGAGAAGAATGTTATGGATATGCATGTACAAATTTGGACACCAAGTATACTACATGGATAAATGTTTCTTTTTATTTGGTTTCAAATTATATTTATATTCTTCAATTATAAATGTGCAAAACTATACACTTAAACTTGTATAAAGTTGAACAAATTGATATACATGTCTTGCATGTCATTTTTTAACATACGTGGTGTCCCACGTGTATTGTGTCATGTAGGACTCATGTGTTTATTTATTTAAAAATTGAATAGTTAAAATGCTTATTTGTGCATTATGAAAGTTGAATGTTAAAGTTAAAATTTGAAGTTTAGAGTTCAATATATGTATTATATCATCTATTTACTATGTAATTATTGTATGAGGTATATTCATCTTACACATAATGAATATTGTGTATACATATATATGTTGCAACAAAATATATTTATGTGAACGTTTATGTTACCAACACAAAATATGCTTATGTGGATATTCATTTTACAATAATGAGTATTTAATGTGACAATTTAAAAAAAAAAAAAAAGAAAAAAAAAAAGAAAAAAAAAAATAGTATGTTATTTGAAAGTTACAATGTCGTTATTTTAGTATTCGATTTTGAAAACATAATACCATTATCATATTATACAGTATGATAATTGGTAATCATAGTTTGTTTAACTTCGATTAATATATATATTTGTAAATTAAAGTGTTATGAATTTAATAATATTTTACTGACACAATACACATGTTAAAATACATATTCAAAAGGCATAATATATAAACATGACCCTTAACTTAGTGTCAATTGACAACTATGACCTTTAACTTTGGGCTTGTATAAAATTGAACAAATAAACATATTCGTCCTACATGACAATTTTGTATCCTACATGACATCATACGTCTATTATGTCATGTAGTACACTTGTGTCTACTTGTTCAATTTTATAATAGTTTAAATGTCTACTTGTGCAAATTCAAAGTTGAAGGACATAGTTGTTCGTTGGCGCCAAGTTAAGGGTCATGTTTATGTATTATGCTTATTCAAAATAAAGTACGAACAACTCACTTTGTTAATCAATTACATTTAATGTTTCAACTTCTAAACATTTATATTTTATGCCAATACTTACGTTAAATATTTGTTAGTATTTTAATAATATATATGTTAGTTATGCAACTATATACTTTGATGCGATATTCAATTTTCGACGTGTTATTTTTAAATAACAAATACCAACGATAATATCAAATACCATACTAAATATCATAATATCAAAACTATAGTATTAAAAATTTCAGTAACATAACATGCCCACTCCCACCTATGGTACTTCAATATGAAAAGATCACAATTGGGTAAAAGAAAACCCATCTATAATTTAAAGGTCTGTTAGGTCATGCGATATGAAATCGTGATATGAAATTATAAGAAAAAGTTAAAGTTTTATTTTGACATATAATTTAGATTTTTTATATTATATGTTTTCTCATAAATATAAAACTCTCACAAGTTATAAAAGTCAAATTATTAAAATTGTCACAATTCTTTATACAGTTCAAAAAAATAAAAGTTTAGCAAAATCATATAATACATCATCATAAATCTATATATTCGTAGAGAATACAACATTCATTGATTTAAATTTAATCAATTATAAAATAAAAACGAACATAAATTGTAGTGCACTAGTTTTTATTATAATCCTTATATAGCCTCACGTTGAACTTGCATTTCTCGATAATAAGATCGAGAATGCGAATCAACATTGTTAATTTTTTCCATTGGTATAACATTTGATTAAAAATTATTAATTTGGTGAATACAAATGATAATGTAAAGATTGTTTTGAAATAAAAGTAAATTCTATATTAATGAGAATAGTCGCTATATGAGATACAAATAATTTTAAAAGTAACGATTTAGATTATAAATTTTATTTGCATATAAAATAGCAAAATAAATTGCTGACAGATGTAAACGTGAGTTTTTTTTACAAAATACAAACTTACGTACTAATTATTGTATTTGAAAATTTTCAAATCATGATTTAAAATTTTGAAATAAGACTTTTTGAAAAATTTAAAATTTTATCTAACAATATGAAATAATGAGATTAACGTTTTGACATCATATCCAAAGCCCTAGTATGTATAATAATTAGACTTTAGAGGTTTCTTGATATATTAACTGCATCAATTCAAATTGGATGACATTTTTCAAAATCTAAACTAGAAAGTGCAAAATTTAGTTCGAAACCACCGCACAACCTTTTTTTAATTAACTGCGTAAAAGTTTTCCCGAAATAAGTATTTACATCAAGTTATATAGTATTAATTAATTATAATTAAAACATTATATTGAATATAAATATACATTTTTAGTAATATTTTATAATTATAATTTTTCTTTTTAGTATTAATAAAAACGCGTGGCGTTATAGATACGCACCTCAGTGAATCACTTATATATATAACTTTGGCTTTAATTTAGGCGCGGCAAATGGTGCGGCAGAGGAGGGGATTCAGTTTTCCCTTTCTTTAGCATTAGGGTTTTCAATGTTGTTCGTCTTCTTGTAAGAATCTTTTGTTCATTCAATTTTTTATCATCGGTGTTGTTTTGAATCAAGAAAACCGAAATACTTTACGAATTTCGAAGATGATATTAAGAACAATCGTTGTTGGAAAAAGTGAATAATTAGTGTAATGGGGAATATATCTTGGCGATAATTGGTTGATATTGTAAGAACTTTTTATTGATTCAATTGTTGATTTCTTCATTGAAGTTACTTCTAAGTGATTGCAGAATTGAATCAAGAAAACAGGAACACTTCTTGACTATAATTTTTTTTATTGTTAATTCAATCCTTGATTATCAGTTAACTTTCCAACCTTAAATGTTCTTATTAATTCAATTCTTGATTGAAGTTAGAAAATTATAAAGTTATATAGTTCTTGTTAATCCAATTCTTGATTGAAGCTAGAGAATTATAAGATTATCAGTACACTTTCCAACCTTAATGTGGTTCTTGGTATTTCAATTCTTGATTGAAAGTTACAGAATTATAAGATTATGAGTAAAATTTTCATCCTTAAAATTGTTCAATTATAAGATTATATTGTTCTTGTTAATTCAATTCTTGACTGACGTAATAGAATTATTAGATTATCACTACACTTTCCAACCTTCAATGTTTTCTTGTTGATTCAAGTCTTGATTGAAGTTGGGGAATTATTAGATTATTAGTGTTGTTACAAGTGATTGCAACATTCAATCAGGAAAACTGAGATACTTTGACCTTAAAACTATTCTTGTTTTTACAATTCTTGATTGAAGTAAGAGAATTATAACTTATAAGATTATCACTGTTGTTTTCAAGTGATTGCAGCATTGAATCAGGAAAACTGAAACACTTTCTGAGCTTAAACTTTTCTTTTGTTAATTCAATTCTTGATTGAAGTTAGAGATTTAGGTTATCAGTGTTATTTTCAAGTGATTGCAGCATTGAATCAGGAAAACTGAAACACTTCCCTTACCTTAAAAAATAGCTTTGTGTAAAATGTGTTTTTTGATGTCACAGAGTTATGTTCCTGTTGGCAAATCTTCGGGTTTTCAGATTTTGGCATTGCTGACTGGGATGGTTGTCATTGTTATATCACCGTTGATTAGCTTGATGCATGATCAGATGGCTTTTCTGCTTCCTTCCTTTGATCTGGCATAACTGATAGTGTTGAACAAAAAGCAATGGCAGGCATGTATAGCATCATTTATGTATGCCCTGAACAATTCTAAGGTATTGAGCAATTTTTAAATTGTACTTCAAGGATAGTATTGGCTGGTGTTTGACAGATGAGTTTTCTGTTTTTCTTGTTTCTTTCTTTTCAGCCTCATAAAACCCTTCCAAAACTTGCAGAAAGTCTTAGAATTGCTCTATTTGCAGTTGATGAAGTTCATTTGTTTCTAAGTAAGGTCATGATTTTCAATAAGATTACAGGTTTATATTCTTTTATTTTGTTTGATAAATCAGACTAATGCTATTATTTGGAATTGTTAAAAAAGTTTCAGCACTGAGTAAGTATTTATTTCTAGTTATTTCTCTTATTCAATTATAGGGACTAATTTACCAGTTTAACGTAAATATGACTCTTAATACATAATGCTTATTAACTGATGAGAAAATATCATGCATATGACTAGATGTAAGTATTTATTTTCTAGTTATTTTTCTTATTCAGTTACAGGGACTAATTTACCAGTTTAACACAAATATGACTTAATACATCATGCTTATTACTGATGAGAAAATACCATGCATATGACTAGACAAACTCCTCGGATATATCTCTTATCAACTCTGTTCTAGCCAAGCAAAAGCTGCGGGAAAATATTGACACAGATTTTCCATTTATTATAGGCGATTATGTTTTGAGAGAGAAATTTGGAATGGATACCATGAACTTTAGTTTTATTTTTGCTACAGTATTAGTGTTTGAACCTCTTAAGGTACAGTCTTCATACCTGTACATATGCTGATAGAAATAATAGTAAATCACTTCATTTCTGCTGCTTGCATGTGGAGCACTGATTAGAACTTATTCCAGAAAAGGGAAGTCTTCCTTGAAAATCCTTTCTGGTGGAGAACTCTGAAAGTTCTGATAATGCTTCTAATGGTTGCATGGATGAACATAATGGGATCAATGAGGTTATTTAGACGACATTGAGTGGAATGCTGTTTCTGAGTGATAATGAAGTATCTTCTCCTGGGAGATATTGGAGATATGGTTTACATTCATTGAAGGGTAGACAGTTGTCTGTTGAATATCTGGAAAATGAGTGTGATGTTGTGCAACATGTGGATGATTTGAATGGTAAAACTCTTCTTTGGGTGAAAAGATCGGTTTATACAGTACAAATCTAATTTAAGAGAATTTGATTGACCCCATCTTCCATGATAAAAAGATTACCCAACCAATAACTCGATCTGTTACCAAAGTCTGAAAGCCACTGCGGTGACATTAAAAATTATTGTGTAAACATAGAGAATTTTGAATTTTTTAACAGTAGTTACCTTAATGTAGATTGAAACAATTTCTTTTGTTTTGTCGTAGCTGCAGCAGTACTTTCATCTACATTCTAAAGTGTTTGAGTTTCAATTTACTCATTTGAAACAACCACTGGACAATCTATCGTCATATCGGTGCAAGATTGTTTAGTATGAGATTTTAAGAGGAACCTTTGCTTGAGATACTATGGCTTATTCCTGGCAATTGATAGAAGAACCTTTCATCTTCTTACCCTATGACAGAACTCTTAATGCATGATCAGAAGACCACAGAAGATAAAAGTATCTCATCCTACTCTTTCTTGCATTCTCAAACTTGACTTTTTTATGTGACAGGTCTCTTCATTTCTTAAAACCAAATCGGGGAAATGCTTTTTGTGGATTTTCCTTAGCCTCTAGCAATGTTGCAGATTAAGTAAAGATTTCATCTTCTCGTCCCAGGGCACTTTTTAAAATGTATATTTATTATTTTTTAAATTGTAAGCTTGGTCATTTACTCCTATATTTACTTTATGAATTCAAGTAGATTGTACTGATATTAATAATTGGTGCAGTTTCTTGTGGTGAATTTTGTGGAAAACTACCTCCGAAAGGTTGTACTGGTTTATGTTGCACAAAACTTCTGATCTGGCCTATGATCCAGAAGAAAGAGCAAAGTTTTGACACGAACCGTTGGAGGATGGACCAACAATAATCTATGCCCCATTTAGGAAAGAAACATTAAGTGTATGAAAATCTCTTGTCTAAACCTGGGGTCATGGCTGCTGCTTACAATGCTAAGGTAATTTATATCCAATCAGGTAAAGTAATTATATTGCTGTCCCTCTGATTTTATTGATGTTGAGTTTATTTCGCCACCAAAATTTAATTGTTTGAAACTTCAGATAATTTTGCATTGTCGCATGATGTAGGAGCATGTCTGTAGGATGCAAAATACCATAGTTGTGAAAGTGGACTAAAGGTGATCATAAACAGCATGCTGTTCAATTGGTTTTCTTTCATGTAATTAGGTATATTATGTCACTGTTATATTATGTGGTAGAGGTCTGCTAGATTAGAGTCAAGGTCTAAAAAATTTCGCAGCCCAAGTCTTTGCACATATTGTCCGCTTTTGCTCAACAGACCTTACAAATTGGTCTCTTAGGCTACACCACCATTGAATCCAAAAATGTGCCTACCATCCAAACTTGTGCTATGTCTTATCTAACACTTCACTCTTTTCTTCCTTTTTCATGTGATATCTCCCTTACTGTCATATGTACCCTTATTCGAAGGCTTGCCAATCCTTTTCTTTGACTTGTCTTCATTAACTCGCCCTCTATTATGAGTGTCACGTGAGGGTGCTTCCTTACAACTTAGCGTCCTTGCTAAGATTTGCCCCATCATCATATTTTGGGAACTTGCCTCTGATGTCATTTGTTGGTAAAACATAAGCCCGTGGCATCTATTGTGCGCTTCGGCTTAACAGAATCCACGGGTTTGTCTCTTAGACAACACTATCAAGCCCAAAAGCGCACATACCATGTGAGCTTGTGCTATGTATATAAAGCACTTCTCATTTTTCAAACTTTTAGACGTGAAATTTGCCTATGGTGTCATATGTAACCCTTTTTCAGCAGCTTGGCAACATAGAAGCCCTCCAACTCTTTCTCTTTGACCCTCCCACATTAGTCCACCCTCCTTCCTGGGCATTAAGTTGCTTATACTCTTCCTTGTCAATTGAGCAGTAAGCTTTGTCCTTTATCTTTTCAGTTGTCAAAACATATCTGAGGCAGGTGCATAAGGAATTTCATGAGAATAATCTGCCGGTAAAACTAGGTGACGTGTTAGATGAAGTAACATTAACAAACATTTTGAATTGTATTTCACATGTTATTGCATATACATAGGTCTTTGATCCTTTGCATTAAATATTCAATATTTTAGAGTGATATGTGCATATTCCCTTATGTTCACGAAGAGGAAATTAATTGTGGAACTTAACGTCCTCATTTTTTGTGCAAATCTAGTTGGATCAATCTCTATTTCGTCAGCACATATGCTTTATTGGTTATTTTTCTGAACTTGGTACAGTTGGGAATTCATATGCCGAACCCTTCTAGTTTGGCATTGAGGCATATGATTTGTAGTATTTGTTTTTGTTGATTGAATTTGTTTTGATGTTGTCCAATCTCTGTACTGTCTGATACAATAAATAGATGATTCTAATATAAGAGGGTTTGTACATTGAGAATATATTGTGGTATCCGGATCTAGCTTTGACTCTAATTATTTAATTCCTGCTCAGTTCTTATGAAAGTGAACTTAAAAAAATAATTTCTTAGTGAACTTCACTTCTAAAAAATATTACATTGATTTCTGAATTGCCTTTTACTTCGTCATCAAATGTTATTAATAAGATGGCACAAAGAAGTCTGCAACATGGAGTGGTGGTTCTTTAGTCCTGTTTCACGAATCATGGATGTTTATCATATCCAGATACTGTTTTCCATGTCAGGGAAATATCATTTCCTTGTTCTGTTTTGTTCTGATTGGACTGTCTTAAGTAAGTCATAATGATCTGAAAATATTTCCTGTTGTATGTTTCTTTTCAACATATGCTATCATATTTTTTAACAGTTGTTGATAGTTGGTATAATTTTTCTGCTGAATTTTTTACGAAGGCCAGTGATTTTCAAGCATGCTGCATGCCTGTATCCACTTTAACTCTTTGATAAAAATAGTATCTTCAAGATATCTTGAAACAGATGGGCAATTTTCTTGAGCTTAAAATTGTTTACTTACATTTAGGTTTTACGCTTGTTTGTTAGTTAACTGAGGCTATGCATTGTACTTTCTGGTAATCAGGCCATTGTCGCAACAATTGCCTTTGGGATGCGCATTGACAAGCTGAATGTGTGAAGGATCATTAACTATGGTTGGCCCCAGGTGCAATTACCTAGCTAGATATCCTTTACATATTTTATACAACTACGTCTGTATGCTCATGTAAACGAACTCCAAAAAAATCTTGAGCACCTTCTTATTTTGTCTTGCTTCTATAGTAATATGATTGTACATATGTTCATATGTGCAGTTAAGAAGCACTGTGTTTAAGGACTTGTTTGAACTATTTTCTTTTAGTTGTCTTTCTGTTACTATTTCAGTTATGCTTCGTGGTCAAGCTATTGTAACCTTTACAGAGTCTGGAGGCTTATTATCAAGAGGCTGGTCGGGAGGAAAAGTAGCAGAGTGTGGTCAGTTAATTTGAGTCTTTTTTAATCTGTGGTTTATTTGTCATAACCTTTAGAAGAATCATTCTACTTCAAAGAGAATAAAATGGTGTACACTGGTTCACATTTTTAGTAATGTTTGGAATTGTGAGATGAGCAATTTCCCGATGGTGCATGACATCCGTTTCTTGGATAAAAATAATCTATAATGGGCCTTTATGCAGTGCTGTTTTTAGTAAAATTGGAAGTTCTATATTAGAATTCAAAAGCTAAGGACATAATTTCTATGAATACTTAAATAGTGAATTTGTAGACATGGAAAAAGGTTAATAACCTCTTAATCTAATCTAATTTGGATTCAAATTTGATGTCCAGAGAAATTTTGGCATGATTACATTTCATTGTTTCACCTTTTCTAGTCTGTTTGACATTTTTTATGTAGTAGTAGTTGACTTTAAAAACTTACGAGCTAATCCTTGAATCATATAAAGAAAATGCTAAACATCGTAAGGTCAAAATGGTTCTCATTATAGAAAGTTAAATGAATTTACAAAGTGTCTTCTTGAAGGTACTTAGTTTAGAAAGAAAAGTAAACATAATAATGATACAAGTAAAAATTAAGGAAGAAGTTGATGATAGGATTTTAGTGCACTTACGAGGAAAATAGATATGGTGAAAGGAAATCTGACATTGTCAAAGTATCACTATATGAATAGCTTTGTTGATAAGGAACCTCATGGCTTCTCATTGGTTTAGCAGAGTTTATCCTGCAGTGCAAAAATTTTGGTTTTGATACACTTGCACCAAATGCTCTTTTATTCAACTTAAATTATCCAGAAGAGTCATGTTTATCTATAGATCTGAGAAATCAGCTTCCAAGAGGCACTACATGTATTTTTGAGCTGTTTGATTTTTTGTGCAACAGTTCTGTATGCAAACTTGTCGAGATCACCTACGCTTCTACCAAGTGAATGAAGTGAGGAGCAGATAAAGCAAGCCTAACATGGTCCATGCTCTGAAAGCAAATCCTAAGTCCCATATCCAGGAGATTGAAGGGTCCTTGATTTTTTTCTCTCATCACCCTGAAAGCCTGCACATGTTCACTTTCCTCTTCGACGATATTGGTCCCACAAGATTACATGCATATGGACGGGTCTGGTGTCCACACGTTCACATTGATTAACAGGGCTGGGAAATCAAGTTATGTGAAGTTCCACTGGAAGCCCACATGTGATGTCAAGTCCTTGTTGGAAGAAGAGGCAATCCGAGTTGGAGGAGCAAATCTCAGCCACACTACTCAGGACCTCTATGACACTATTGTAGCTGGAAATTATCCTGAATGGAAGCTCTTCATAGTTCATTCAGACTATGGATCCAGATCATGAAGACAGCTTTGACTTTGTTCCACTCCTGGTAGTACTTCTCTTATGATGTCAATATAGCGTTGAGGTGACTTGTCTTTTCAACCTTCTCTGACTGTTCTATGTTGCCTTTTTTCTTCTTTCCTCGTCTTGGGGTACCATTAGAAGTTAACTAACAGCCTACCTGTTTATTTCAATTTAGAACTACTTCTTAGGATAAAAATTATCATTATACCTATTAAATTGTGTTTTAGCATTTTAGAGGATCCGTTTTTCCTTTTTACCCATTGACTTAGTACGGAAAGTATTTGGTTTAGTGGAGGAGATGGTATCTCGAGCTTACAAGCAGTAGCATTTACACAAAATTTAAGCCCTCAAAGTCTTCATCCTGGTGGCTGCCACTTCAGTTTATTCGATGATTTGAGATGCAATTCCACTAAAATTGAGTATCTTCTATTGGGTATATTGCTTTTGAATGCTGAATGAGTTGTTGAACACTAACTGTCACTTGAATGTCCTATCTTGAGATCCAATATGTTATCTCTTCATCAATGCATGAATGATGAAGTTTAGCGATGAGGAGATATGACAGTGCAGATCCAGTGAAGGATCCTGTACTGCGCGAGGAGGGAATCCAAATTTTCTTTCCCTTTCTTTTAAAGCCAGGTTTTTTACTGTTGTTGTCTCCATAGAAAAGTAATCAACAGCATCTACAACGTTGTTGGAAAAGGTCTGTTGTATGAATCTTTTGTTTATTCAATTCTTGATTGTTCACTAGTTTTCAATTTGTTGTGATTGTATTTACATAACAAGAGAAATGGTATGAAGTACAGCTGTTGGTGGAAAAAGTAAACAGTTAGTGTAATTGGGAATATCATTTGGCAATAATTGGGAAATTATTTTAATAAAAGGTATGTTGTGAGAACTTCTTGTTAATTCAATTCTTGATTGGAGTTAGAGAATTGTTAGATTATCAGTGTTAATTTTTAAGTGATTGCAGCATCAAATCAAGAGCAGTGGAACACTTTCTGTTCTTAAAATTGTTCTTGTTAGTCAATTCTTGATTGAAGTAAGAATATTATTAGATTATCAGTGTTTTTTTCAAGTGATTGCAGCATTGGATCAAGAAAACTGAAACACTTTCTGACCTTAAAATTGTTCTTGCTAATTCAATTCTTGATTGAAGTAGGAGAATTATAAGATTAACAGTACACTTTCCAGCGTTAAATTTTTTCTTGTTAATTCAATTTCTTGATGAGAATTATCAGATTACCAGTACAATTTCCTACCTTGAAATTTATTGTTAATTTCATCCTGGATTGAAATTGGAGAACTATTAGATTATCAGTACACTTACCTACCTTGAAATTTTGTTGTTAATTCAATCTTGATGGTGCGATTGATTATCTACTCGATGTTTCTCAAAGAAACACTGCGAGTGCATCCACTAGTTTTGCATGTTTCAGCCGCCGTGCTGGTATGCTAGGAAAAAGAGGCTCCTCTTCTTCATCTTGTTCTGCAGGCAACATACGGAAATCAAGCATAAACGTATGCATTCAATCAGCAATTAGACCTAAATGAAGCAAGACAATGAATAAGTTGAATATGTCTCATCAGAAATCTTGCAAAGAGATACTGGAGGTCGAAATGTGCATTCTCCTCTAGAGGATTTTGATCTCCACGTTGCAATTGGAAAAGCTGTATCATCATCTTATTGCAAAGATGAAGATATTGGACCAGATTGGCAAAACAAGGTCAATAATTTGTTGCAGAAACACTATGGACTTTCATTGTTGAAGGAGTTTCAGAAGGAAGATCTAGAAAGCTTGGTTGTCTCACCGAGACTGTCTTTTTCTTGCAGCAACAGGATCAGATACTACCCCTCACACTTTTCTTTCTCCTCCATTATCTCCCTTCCTGTAAAATATGATTTTTGATTTCTGCAGGGAAATCTTTGTGTTTTCGGATTTCGGAATTGCTGACTGGGAAGGTTGTATTGAAATATTGGACCAGATTGGCAAAAGAAGGTCAAGAATTTGTTGCAGAAACACTTTGGACTTTCATTGTTGAAGGATTTTTCAGAAGGAAGCTCTAGAAGGTTGATTGTCTCACCAAGACTGTCTTGTTCTTGCAGCAACAGGATCAGGTACTAGCCCCTGACACTTTTTCTTTCTTCACTATTCTCTCCCTTCCTGTTAATATGATTTTCGATGTCTCGGAGTTATGTTTCTTTAGGGAAATCTGTGTTTTCAAATTCCGGCATTGCTGACTGGGAAGTTTGCCATTGTTATATCACCTCTGATTAGCTTGATGCATGACAGTGTTTGAAGTTAGCAAAACATGGTGTTTCTGCTTGCTTCCTTGGATCTTGTCAAACTGATCGAAGTGTTGAACGAAAAGCAATTGCAGGCATGTATAGCATCATTTATGTATGCCCTGAGACAATTCTAAGGAATTGAGCATGTTAATCTTTTGAATTGTACTTCAAGGATAGTATTGGCTGTTGTTTGACAGATGAGTTTCCTGGGTTTTTTTTCCCTTTTCTTTCAGACTCATAAAACTCCTCCAAAGCCTTGCAGAAAGTCATGGGATTGCTCTAGTTGCAATCGATGAAGTTCATTGTGTTTCTAAGCAGGGACATGATTTTCTACCAGATTACAGGTTTATATTCTTCTATTTGTTTTATAAATTAGACCAATGCTATTTTTGGAAATTGATCAATAAATTTGAGCCCTGAGTATGTCCTTTGATATAGATAAATCCTATAGTCTCTTTTCCTAGAGTGCAAATAAATAAGAAGGAACTTGTTATCCTTCCATACAGTTTACATACCATAAGGACCAAGCCAACTACAATCTTTGCAGGTGGTACTTCACATTGGGTGTGCGGTGGGGTGGGCTGACCTTCCGAATTCTGGTTCTATGTTTGTTTAGGCACTTGATCAGTTGAAGCTCAAGGAGCCTCTGCTGTTTTTGTTACTACTGATCATGGCACTGATTGCTACTGCCACTACTCGTGTTTGATAAGACATTCTGCAGTCATTGCACATGTCAAAGGTGACACAAATTGTTCTTACTTCGTTTTTCCTGCCAAATCTAAGATTTTTTAGTTAATTAATCTACACCTTGCTACGGTAATTTTTTTGTTTTGGTATTCCTTGTATGTTCTGCATTTGTAGTTGCTGCACCATTTCATTCTTCGCTTTGTTTATCTTATTTATTTCCTTATTTTGTTTGTTGTGTGAGTATTTTGGGGGGGGGGGGTCATACTTCGCTTTGTTTCTCTTTTTTTTCTCCTTATTTTGTTTATTTGTTGTGTGTGTGTGTGTATTTTGGGGGGGGGGGCATACTTATTTATTGTTAATCATCCATTTATATACATACTCAAGAACTAAATTACTACTTTCTTTTACTAGTTTTGGTATTTAAACTAGATCCTTAATCTTTGTGTCACTTTATGTCTGCAGCATAATACCATGACAGAACTATACTGCATATTAATAAAGTTACCATTGAGTGTTTTTAGTTTTATTTTTTTCATAAGTATTAGTGTTTGAACCTTCTAGAGGTACAGTCTTCATTCTCTGGACATATGCTAATAGAAATAATAGTAAATCACTTCATTTCTGCTCCTTGCAGGTGAAGCACTCTAAAACATATCTTTAGCATTCTACAAAGTGGATTTTCATGAATGGATAAATACTTACTTTGGAAAAGGTAAGTCTTTCTCAAAAAATAAGTTAATGTCTACAAATCTGGAATAGAACTCTGAAAACTCTAATAATGCTTCCAATGGTTTCATGGATGAATGTAATGGGAGCACTGAGGTTAATGTAGAAGACGTTGAGGGGGATGCTGTTTCTGACAGTAACAATGAAGTATCTTCTCCTGGGAGATATGGTTTATATTCATTGAAGGATGGACAATTGTCTCAAAAGAGAGATGGTTTAGATTCATTGAAAGAATGACAATTGTCTGTTGAGCATCCGGAAGATGAGTGATGTTGTGCAATACGTTGATGATTTGGATGGTAGAACTCTTCTTTGGGTGAAAAGATCTGTTTATACAGTATAAATCCAATTTAAGAGAAAATTTGATTGACCCCATCTTCCATGACACTAAAGATTACACAACCATTAACTCGATTTGTTACCAAAGTCCGAAAGCCACTTCAGAGACCTTGAAAATTATTGTGTAAGCATAGGAAATGTTAAAAAATTTAATGTTGGTTACCTTAGTGTGGATTGAAACAATTCCTTTCGTTTGTCGTAGCTGCAGCAGTACTTTCATCTACAATGTGAAGTATTTAAGTTTCAATTTACTCACCTGCAACAACACTGGACAATCTATCGTCACATCGGCGTAAGATTGTTTAGTATGAGATTTCGAGAGGATATAAGCTTGAGATAGATAAGCCCCTGGCAATAGATGGAAGAGAAAACCTTGCTTCATCTTATCCTATGACACAACTCTCCTAGTACATGATCAAAAGACCACATAAGATAACTCTTAATACAAAGTGTCTTCTTGAAGGTACTTAGTTTAGAAAGAAAAGTAAAGATAATAATGACACAGGTAACAATTAAGGAAGTAGTTGATGATAGAATTTTAGTACACTTACTAGGAGATTACATTCGGTGAAGGAAATCTGACATTGTCATAATATTACTATATGAATAGCTTTAGTGATAAGCAACCTCATGCCTTCTCCTGGATTTAGCAGAGTTTATCCTGCAGTTCATAAAGTTTGGTTTTGATACACTTGCACCAAATGCTCTGTTATTCAACTTAATTTATCCGGAAGAGTCATGTTTATCTATAGATCTGAGACATCGGCTTCCAAGAGGAGGGAGGCACTACATGTATCTTTATGCTGTTTGATTTTTTTGTGAAACAGTTCTGTATGCAAACTTGTCAAGAACACCCTACGCTTCTACCAAGTCAAAGAAGTGAGGAGCAAACAAAACAAGCATATAAGATGTTATCCGATTGCTTTATGTTGTAAGATAATTATTAATTGAACGACTTCAATTAGTACTTTGGTTTCCATCTTATGTGTTGGTTATGTTCAACAGATATGGAATGAACACTTCTTGCTATAGAGCCAAGACACCTGTGGAGTACTTTGGCGAGCATTTTTTTTGGAGATATGTCTCGTATATGTCAATACACACTGGCTATTATTGTGTTTCTCTTTTGTTTCTTACAAGCTGCTTCATGTCAAGGATGTGTGCTTGTGCTTCTCTGTTATTCCTCTTAAGTTGTTCTCTAAATTGAGGTTTCGGGTACTCATTTTATCACAGGACATGCCACATAAAAGAGAGATTCATTTGTAGCAGTTTGAAGTAAAAAATTTCTCCCTATGCATGTAAAGATGTGCCTAATGCATCCCATTGCTAATATCTTTTTTAATTCATGCGTACTGATGCTTGTCTTATTCTTGTGTAAATTTTTGCTCAAGAAAATACTTGTTTATGACAGGTTTTCTTACTTGCAATGAGTTCAGTTTCTTAGTTTATGTCATTTACCTTGCACATAATGCACAGTGTGGTATATGCATCAAAGGCCCACCTGAAAGACAGAATTTGAAGACTGAGGCGATGATCATCTTGCAAGTTGTTGTTACTCATTGTGTGAGTGCCATCTCAGATTTGCTTGCCCTCCTTCGTACTTTGTCATCTCATTTTGGCATTGCTGGTCATTATAAATCCTTTCTGGCTCAGACGAATTTTGCAGACATCTGTTATGGTGGTTATGAAGGGAGAGTTGGCGAGAGGCCAAACATCAAGGCTTTAGTCAGCAGAATAAGGGAACAGGTACTTATTCTGTTCAAGCCCTCTCTCTACCTCTATCCCTTGCTCTTTGCTAGTTTGATGTGCATGCCCCATTGAAAATTCACCGCGTAGGCCTTTTGTAAAGCATGTCTACCTAGTGATATGACAGAACCTACAAATCTTCCTTCAATTTGAATGAGCTTCCTGTTACCAGCTTCTGGGATCTTTCATGCCCTGCCAATAGAGCTCCCCGGAGATATATCATGTTTGTAATTTGGATTGCTCTCGAAGAGACTTCTTCAAAATCTTTTTCAACATCAATCATATGCTGGGATGCTTATAATAATCTGCAATTCCCGTCTTATGGAGTAAAGGTACAACGTCATACTGAAAATAGGCTCAACTTGTCGAGCAGCTGTCCTCCTGCTACATGTTACTCTACACTTACCAAGGCCGTGTTTTATTTTGCTCATCTCTGAAGTGCCAATTTTCTTTTTCAGAGAACTATTCAATCACCTGTGCATTTATTCCAGTATACCACTTTTAATTTAAGAAGTAGGTCAAGGGTTGTGGGACAAAGCAAAAAGACAATAGATGATTTTATTGGGACAGGGACTGCCTTATGATAAGATTGTCTCCCAGGAAAACTGCAGTAGTTTGAAGCTATCACTAAGAATAAGACATTTAATTACCCTTTTGATTGTTTTACTTTTATCCGTCTGGTTCCTCCTGCTTGATGGAGAATGTGGAAAGATAGAACTAGTCAGACGTGTCAAAGTTTTATTGTTAAAACAGCTGTTGTTACCTTGGAACTATGGTTACATGACAATATTAAATGATGCATCTTTTTCTTCTGGGAGAGGAGGGAGGGAGGGGGGGGGTCTAGTGGGTGGTAAAGGTTTTCATTTGGTGCCTAATTTTCCACTTTCTTTATGTTGTGTTACCTTTTGAAATAAATGTTGAACTTGGAATATGTTTGTATGTTGTTATTTTCAATGATACTGACGACCGTATGCAGACAAGTCTTCATAATACGGTTACTCCTCCTCCCCTCCCCCCCCCCCAAAAAAAAAAAAAAAAACCCAACCCTCAATTAGTTAGTTTTGGTGGTACCATAATGACAATAAGCGCATCTGGTGTAGTGGTATCATAGTACCCTCCCACGGTACTGACCGGGGTTCGATTCCCCGGATGCGCACTCACTTCATTTTTTACTACAATTCTTTAGCATTATTCCTTTCTGGAATATAATTCACTTCAAGCAAGGGATGTGAAGTTATGCCCCTATTGATGCAAAGCAAAGAATCAATTCCCCTTTCTATTGTTTTATACTTTAACAACAACAAGTCATCTACTTTAGATGAGTTCTCAACAGAGCCTCAATGTATTTTAACAACATTGCCTTTGCAATTATAGGCTTTACATCATCATTCTTGCTATACTTGCCAACCTTGAGGAGAAGGCAAAAGAAGGAATTAGCAGCAGAGAAATTAAGGATAATAACAGAAGCATTAGAACAAGCAGAGGATAGAGTGTTAAGGTATGAAGAAAGACACAGCAAGATACTTAACCAAATATGTTCACATTACATTGTAAGTCAAGAAATGGTAGAAGCACTTTCTGGTGCTCGAGAAGCGATGAATGAAGCATTAGAATTTGCAATTACGCTCAGAAATATGCAGTTAGAAGTTATCATATTGTACCCTGATGATTATGATAGTGCTTCAAGGCCTGTTTGGTTAATTGGAAAATCAAGAAGACAAAGGAACAATAATAATTAGCATAGATCAACATACATGTTCTTCATTATTTCTTGATCACTCAATGGATACTATTTCCTTTCATCTTTAACCAAAAAATTTGCAATATTCCTCTTTGCATTGAAATCTTTGTATATTTGGCAATAGCAGGCATTTTGTCTAATATGTGATTATCATCATGCTAGTAGGGTGTTTACAATATCAACATCAACAAGAATAATAATTACTTTACTACGTTCCAGTTTCCAACAAGTTGAATTGGTTATATGAATACACACTTCTTCATTTAAATTTGAATTTATATCATTATCAAGCGGTATTAATCATAGCAAAATAAGTTGAAAATTTTGGAGGGGATAGTAATATACTTAATGAAGAAAAAATAGATAAATATGTACCTTTCTCTAAGTTAGCGAAATTATCCTTAATTGAGAGGAAAAATAAAAATTTGTATTGTTTAAAGAAAAATTTTATGGGTTATTTTTGTGCATAAATGTAAAACAAGTTTTAAATAATATTGTTTGCATCCTCAACACCAAAATAGTCCGCTGTAGCACTGGCAATTCTATCTTGTTGAAGAATCCGGGTTCAAATCCTGGCAGCGGAAATATTTTTTAATACATATTTTGTAAGGTTATTTTTTAAATCTTAATTATTAAGTTGTATTTTTTAAAAATATCGTAATTAGTTAATTAATAAATATATTTCTATTGTGATTATAGAATATGGATATAACATAAATATATCCGACTTGTTTCACGCGATTAAAAAGATTAAGATATTAATAATTTTATCAAATATAATATAGATAAAAGAGGTGTGCAATATATACACATTACACATATAATTGATTTCATTGAAGAAAACTTTTGATTTATAGTTTGTAGTAGATTCTAACAAAAGTCATACGTTATAATTTTGAACTAAAATAAATTATAAATTTACGACAATTAGATGTTCATATAAAATAAATAGAAATTACAGTGAACATATAATATAATATAATGTAGTGTAACATTATTCTTATGACCTTAACTACAATTAGATATTCATATAAAATAAATAGAAATTACAGTGAACATATAATATAATATAATATAATATAACATTATTCTTATGACCTTAACCACTAAGAAAAATAGAAGAAGAAACAATACGAAATGAGTGCAAGTTTCTATGAGTTTTTATCCATATTCATTCAGACAAGTCGATCATCATTCAATAGTCTTCATTTTATTCTTTAAGTCAAATTAAGACATAAATATAATAACTTAAGAGACTAATTTAATAATTTCTATAAAGTCTTGTAATATCGATATTTATAAGACTAAAATACAGATAATGTCATGAGTATCGTAAAATTATTTTAGAGGTTATAACAACAAAAGATTATGCGAGTAATAAAAATATTGATCATTGGGTTATACATTAAATAATGTGAATGAATTGTCAATGACATGTTTATTATTTTACAATAATAGAAAAGTAGGAGAATTTATCAAAAATTATGAAAAAAGAATTATAGTGCCAAAAGAAGTTATAAATTAAGTTTTTTAATTGGCAAAAATTATAAATTCATATATAATACAAAATAAAGAAAGAATATATGGAAATACACTATCGAAGGTGACGACAATTCAACTGTTATATAGAATACATCATTGTGATTCACGTAAATCTGCATGCGTGGCTGGTTCAGTCGGACGAGCCAATACATGAAATTTGATACCCTATATTTAGAAAATACTAAAATATGAAATTGTACTTTATTTTACATTAATAACTTCATGGTAATCAGATTCTATACATATATACAAGCCAACACAATGAGATAGAAGATGCACTGATTCACATACAAGATAACATAGTCAAATAATAATAATATTTCTTGGTATATATTCAGCATATCCTTTGTTGTTCGACTTACTGTACATTATAATAATACTGCTTATAAGTTATAACGTACACAAAAAGCCATTGAATAGCATGCTAGACAACAATCACATGTACAAATACCTTAATATTCTTGTTCGACTTACTGTGTACATTATCATGATATTTCTTACAAGATACAACAATAAAAATTGCATGCAAGTTGAATACATTACAAGTTGTAATGTTACAAAGTATTATTTTATATTTTTTTATGGGACACTATTAATTATATAATATTTTCTAAAATTAACAGATACATGTACATTTTTACATAAATATGTATATCCGTTTTTGTTCTCCCTTTCTTCTTGTTATATTTCAATATAAAATAATAATAATCCATGAATAGAAGAAAACTTTATATATAATTTAAATATAAAATTTACAAAATATATACACTTTATGAACTAAAAATTAATTTCCACTCTTGAATAACATTTTTCAAAATTCAAATCAAACAAATGCCTTTTTTAATCAACTGTGTAAAAATTTACCAAATAAAGTATTTACCTAAAATGAAATAATACATTAAAACAAATCATTATAATTTTTTTTAGAAATAAAAAGGCGTGTGGCGTGAGCGTGACGCGGTTAATGTCCTCACTTATATATATGCGGTGGCTGTAACAATATTTGCCTTCAAAATCTTAGCGCGGGACAAATGGCGCTGTAGAGAAGAGGGGATCCAATTTTCCGTTTCTTTAACATTAGGGTTTTCACTGTTCTTCGTCTACACAGAAAGGTACTAAGATCAATTATTCTTGAAAATCTTTATTAGATTCTCGATCTTGTTTTCAAGATTGAAGCAAGAAAACTGAAATACTTTTCGAATTCTAACATTAAAACACAGTCAATGTAGCTGTAGAAGTGTTCTTTTTCCAATTCGTTTCATTGTATTCACATAACATTAAAACACAGTCAAGAACAACTGTTGTTGGAAAAAGTAAACAATTACTGTAATGGGTAATAACACTTGGCGATAATTGGGAAATTAGGTAAATAAAAGGTATATTTTGAGAACTTTTTGTTGATTCAATTCTTGATTGAAGTTAGAGAATTATTACATTATCAGTACACTTTCCTACCTTGAAATTTCATTGTTAATTCAATTCTTGATTCTTGATTGAAGTTGGAGAATTATAAGATTATCAGTACACTTTCCAACCTTAAATTTTTTCTTGTTAATTCAGTTCTTGATTGAAGTTAGACAATCATCTGCTCAGTATTGTGAAAGGCGATTGCCTCGTCACCAATGGCAAGAGGCGAGGCGAGGTGACCCTTCATCGCCTTTTAGCTTTGTGGCGAGGCAATCTTCAAAAGGCGATGCCATGTCGACAAAAGGCTAGAGGCGAGAAAGGCTAGGAAGGTGTCGCCTTTTGTGTTTTTTTTTAAAAAAGGCGACAAATTTAGGGTTTTTTAAAAATTAAAAGGTAATTTTAGGATTTTCGACTAGACTCCTCCGGTAACTTGCCAGGCTTTTCCGGCGACTCCAAAGTCTAACCAATACATATTTCTTGTTTTCTTCTTCAGAGTTGGTCACTTTTACCTTTGTTTTGACTTTTGTTCTTTTTTTTCTCTTTCATGTTCTAGGCTTTTAATACGTACTATCTATTTTTAGTTTTTAATTTGAAAAAATTGCTAATATGTTATTGTTTGATTATTTACATATGCAATTAAAATTTTAAATATTTTGGTATTAAAAGGAGCCGCACTTAAAAAAGGCGAGCGCCTCGCCGTTCGCCTCGCCTTGTGGCGAGGCAGACCCTTGTCGCCTTTTATCGCCTTTTGCCGTCTAAAACACTGCATCTGCTTATTAGTGTTATTTTCATCAAGATTGCAGCATTGAATCAAGAAAACTGAAATACTTTCCAACCTCAGAAACAGTCGATGCAGTTATAAGCGAGTTCTTTTTTCTATGTACAGAAGTTTTCAATATGTTTGATTGTGTTTACATAATTAGATAGATGATATTTAGAACAATGTTGTTGGAGAAAGTAAACAATTAGTGTGATGGGGAATATCACTTGGCAATAATTGGGAAATTATGTAAAGAATAGGTCTATTGTGAGAACTTCTTGTTTATTCAATTCTTGATTGAAGTTAGAGCATTGTTAGATTATCACTGTTATTTTCACGTGAGTGCAGCATTGCATCAGGAAAACTGAAACACTTTCCGACCTTAAAAATTAGTTTTGTGTTTGTAAGTCCCCTAAAACAGTAAATATTCTGAAGTTTTCAATTTCTTTGATTGTAGTTCAATCTGGACTCTCTGACTTTTTTGTGTATTTGCACTCTCAGCTCATTGTTCTTGAAACAATTATTACAGTATGGACCCAGACCGAGTTGTTGCTGAATTGGTTGGAATGGGATTTGAGTTATCTGATATTACAGATGCTGTAGAAGTTGTGGGTCCATCAATTGATAGTGCGATTGATTATCTACTCGATGATTCTCGAAGAAAAACTGCAAGTGCATCAACGAGTACTGCATGTTTCACCAGTTGTGCTGGTATGCTGGGAAAAAGAGGCTCCTCTTCTTCTTCTTGTTCTGCAGGAAAAATACGGCAATCGAGCATAAACGAATTCATTCAATCAGAAAGTAGACCTAAAAGAAGCAAGACAATAAATAAGTTGAATATGTCTCAAACAGAAGTCTTGCAAAGAGATACGGGAGGTCAAAATGTGCATCCTCCTCTAGAGGATTCTGATCTCCACATTGCTACTGAAAAAGCTGTAACATCATCTTATTGCAAAGATGAAGATATTGGACCAGATTGGCAAAAGAAGGTCAAGGCTTTGTTGCAGAAACACTTTGGATTTCCATTGTTTAAGGATTTTCAGAAAGATGCTCTGGAAGCTTGGTTATCTCATCAAGACTGTCTTGTTCTTGCAGCAACAGGATCAGGTATTAGCCCCTCTCACTTTTTCTTTCTTCACCGTTCCCTCCCTTCCTGTAAAATGTGATTTTCAATGTCTCAGAGTTATGTTTCTGTAGGGAAATCTTTGTGTTTTCAGATTCCGGCATTGCTGACTGGGAAGGTTGTCATAGTTATATCACCGTTGATTAGCTTGATGCACGATCAGTGTTTGAAGTTAGCAAAACATGGTGTTTCTGCTTGCTTCCTTGGATCTGGTCAAACTGATAAAAGTGTTGAACAAAAAGCAATGGCAGGCATGTATAGTATCATTTATGTATGCCCCGAGACAATTCTAAGGTATTGAGCATGTTAATCTTTTGATTTGTACTTCAAGGATAGCATTGGCTGTTGTTTGACAGATGAGTTTCCTGTTTTTCTTTTTTCCTTTTCATTCAGACTCATAAAACCCCTCCAAAGCCTTGCTGAAAGTCGTGGAATTGCTCTATTTGCAGTTGATGAAGTTCATTGTGTTTCTAAGTGGGGTCATGATTTTCGACCAGATTACAGGTTTTTATTCTTTTATTTGTTTGATAAATCAGACTAATGCTAGTATTTGAAATTGGTTCGTGCAGTTGAAGCTCAAGGAGCCTCTGTGTTCCTGTTGCTTCTGACAACTTTTTTAAGTTCCTTGAGTTTTTTCATCATTCTGTTATGAAGATAGTGCTTGCCCTGTAGACACGGTCTTTTGCTAGACCAGGCTATCAAATTACACCTGATTCTAGTATGTCCCATTTATTTCCTAGTAATTTTCTCTTATTCAATTACAAGGACTAATTTACCAGTTGACTTTAGATATGACTCTTAATACATCATGCTTATTAAATGATACGAAAATAGCATGCATATGACTAGACAAACTCCTCGGATATATCTCTTATCAACTCTGTTCTAGCCATGCAAAAGCTGCAGGAAAATATTGACACAAATTTTCCATGTATCATAGGCGATTATCTGTTTTGAGAGAGAGCTTTAGCATGGATACCATGAAGTTTCTGAAGTTTGACATTCCGATCATGGCACTGACTGCTACTGCAACTACTCGTGTTCGAGAAGACATTCTGCAGTCATTGCACATGTCAAAGGCGACAAAAATTGTTCTCACTTCGTTTTTCCGGCCAAATCTCCGATTTTTAGTAAGTTAATTTACACCGGTATTTATTTTTAGTTTGTCATTGCTTGTATCCTGCAATTGCATTTGCTGCACCGTTTCATTCTTCATTTTCTTTCTCTTACATTTCCTTATTTTGTTTGTTGTGTGTATGTTTGGGGGGGGGGGGTTGAGAACAAACTTATTTATTGTTAATAATCCATACAACATTTAAACTCCCATGACGTTAAATTCTTGAGGGAACTCAATACTTAAATTGTTACATCATGTTTTCCTATCAATTGATCCTGAATTCACACTTAAGAACTAAACTACTCCTTCCTTTGAATAGTTATGGTATTTAAACTAGATCCTTAATCTTTGTGTCACTTAATGTCTGCTGCATAATACCATGAAAGGGCTATACTCCATATTAATAAAGTTCCCATTAATTGTTTTAGTTTTATTTTGTTGCTACAGTATTAGTGTTTGAACCTTTTAAAGTTACGGTCTTCATTATCTGTACATATGCTTATTGAAATAATGGTAAATCACTTCATTTCTGCTGCTTGCAGGTGAAACACTCTAAAACATCATCCTTAGCATCCTACAAGAAGGATTTTCATGAATTGATAAGCATTTATTCCAGAAAAGGGAAGTCTTCCTCGAAAAATAAGTTAATGTCTACAAATTTGGTGGAGAACTCTGAAAGCTCTGATAACGCTTCCAATGGTCGCATGGATGAATGTAATGGGATCAATGAGGTTGATGTAGACGACGTTGAAGGGTATGCTGTTTCTGACAGTGACAATGAAGTATCTTCTCCTGGGAGATATGGTTTAGATTCATCGAAGGATAGACAACTGTCTGTTGAGTATCTGGAAGATGAGTGTGATGTTGTGCAAGATGTTGATGATTTGGATGGTAAAACTCTTCTTTGGGTGAAAAGATCGTTTATACAGTATAAATCCGATTTTTAAGAGAAAATTTGATTGACCCCATCTTCCATGACACTAAAGATCACACTACAATAACTCGATCTGTTACCAAAGTCCGAAAGCCACAGCTGAGACCTTGAAAATTGTTTTGCGTGAACATAGAGAATTTTGAAAATTTTAATAGTAGTTACCTTAGTGTGGATTGAAACAATTCTTTTTGTTTTGTCGTAGTTGCAACAGTTGTTTTATCTACATTCTAAAGTGTTTAAGTTTCAGTTTACTCACTTGCAATAACCACTAGAGAATCTATCGTCACATTGGTGCAAGATTGTTTAGTATGAGGTTCAAGAGGATATAACCTTAGCTTGAGATAGATATGGCTTATCTGTGGAAATGGATAGAAGAAAAACCTTGCATCATTTTATTAATACATGATCAAAAGACCACATAAGATAATAGTATCTCATCCTACTCTTTCTTGCATTCTCACGCTTGACCTTTTTGTGACAGATAGTCTCTTCATTTCTTAAAGCCAACTAAGGGAAATGTTTTTTGTGGGTTTTCCTTAGCCTCTAACTGGCAATGTTGCATTTTAAGTAACGACTTCATCTTCTTGTCCAGGCTACATTTTAGGGGTTTCCTCAATTTCTCATTGGCTACCTCGAATGTAAATTTATCATTTTAAATTATAAGCTTGGTCATTTACTCCTATAACTTACTTTATGAATTCAGATAGAGTGGACTGATGTTAATAATTGCTGCAGTTTCTTGTGGTGAATTTAGTGGAAAACTACCACTGGAAGGTTGTAGTGGTTTTCTGTTGCACAAAACTCCTGATCTGGCCAATGATCCAAAAGAAAGAGTCAAGCTTCAACACAAACTGTTGGAGGATGGACCAACAATAATCTATGCCCCAACTAGGAAAGAAACATTAAGTATATCAAAATTTCTTTCTAAATTTGGGATCAAGGCTGCTGCTTACAATGCTAAGGTAATATATGTCCATTCAGTTAAATTGATTATATTGCTCTCCCTCTGGTTTTATTGAGTTGCGTGTAATTCACCACAAATTATAATTTATTGAAGGCTTCAGATAATTGCATGGTCGTATGATGTAGGAGCATGTCTGTAGGATGCAAAATACCATAGATGTGAAAGTGGAGTAAAGGTGATCATAGGCATGCTATTCCAATTGGTTTTCTTTCATGTAATTTAGGTATAACTTGTCACCATGATATTATGTGGTAGATGTCTGCTAGATTAGAGTCAAGGTCTTAAAATTTTCACTGCTCAAGCATTTCGACATACTGTCCACTTTTGTGCAACTGACCTTACATATTGGTCTCTTATGCTACACCAACATCGAATCCAAAAACACGCATACCATCCAACCTTATGGTATGTCTTATGTAACACCTCACTCTGTTCTCCCTTTTTGATGTGAGATTTGCCTTAAGTGTCATATTTACCTCTTATTAAGAAGCTTGCTAATCTAAAAACTTGCCAATCCTCATTAACTGCAAACTTTGACTCATCCTCATTAACCCTCCCTGCGTTGTGAGTGTCACATGAGGGTGCCTCCTTACACCTAAGTGTCCTTGCTAATATTTTCCACATCATCGTACTTCCGGAACCTGGTTTTATGTCATAGTTGGTGTAACATAAGCCCGTGTCACATTTTGTGCACCTTGGCTTAACAGAATTCACAGATTTGTCTATTGGACAACACTATCATCAAGCCCAAAAGCGCTTATAACATGTGAACTTGTGCTATATGTTCTTATATATCAGTCTACTCATTTTTCAAACTTTTCGACGTGAGATATTCCTATGGTGTCATATGTTATCTTCTGCCAGCAGCTTGGTAACATAGAAGCCTTCCAACTCTTTCTCTTTGACCCGCCTGCATCAGCCCTGGGCATTACAAAAAATGATGCTGTTTAGGAATGAAGTATACTCTTCCTTGTCAATTGAGCAGTAATATTTGCTCTTTCGCTTTTCAGTTGCCAAAATCACATCTGAGGCAGGTGCATAAGGAATTTCACGAGAACACTCTGCAGGTAAAGCTAGGTGATGTGTTAGATGGAGTAATGTTAACACATTTTGTATCTTGTTTAACAATTGTCTGTAGGTTTTTCATCCTTTGCATTCAATATTTTAGAGTGATATGCACATATCCCCTCATGCTCATGAAGAAGAAATTCATCGTTGAAGTTATTGTCTTCATTTTTGTGTGAATCAAGTTCGATCAATCTCTGTGTCCTGATCTCATATGCTTTATAGGTTATTTATCTGAACTTGGTCCATTTGAGGATTCATATGCTGAACCCTTCTAGTTTGGCATTGAGGCATAGTACTAGTAGTATTTGTTTTTATTGGTTGAATTAGTTTCGGTGTTGTCCAATCTCTGTACTGTCAGATGTCAAATACAATTTACTAATAGATGATTCTAATATAAGAGGGTGTTTGTACATTTGGAAATATATTGTGGTATGTGAATCTAGGTTTTGACTCTTCTTATTTAATTCCTGCCTCAATTCTTATGTATGAAATTTTATAAAAATAATTTCTTAGTGAACTTCACTTCTGAAAAAGATTTTACCCTTTTACATCATCATTAAATGTTATTGATAAGATCCCACAAAGAAGTCCACAACATGTAATGGTGGTCCTACTGTCCTGTTTCATGAATCACGAGTGGTTATCATATCTGTAAACTGTCTTCAAGTCAGGCAATATGATTTTCTTATCCTATTTTGTTTTGATTGAACTGTCATAAGTAAGTCATAATGATTTGAAAAAAATTCCTGTTGCATATTTCTTTTCAACATAGGCTATCATTATTTTTTTTTACCATTGATGATAATTGGTATAGTAAGATGAATCTATTGCAAAGGTTTTCTGCTAAATTTTTTACCAAGGTCAGTGATACGTAAGCATGCTGTGCATGCCTTCATCCACTTCAACTCTTTGATAATATTATCTTCAAGATATCCTGACAGCAGATGGGCAATTTTCTTGAGCTTAAAGTTGTTTACTTACATTAGGTTTTACGCTTGTTTATTAGTTAACTGAGGCTATGCATTGTACTTTCTGATATTCAGGTCATTGTTGCAACAATTGCCTTTGGGATGGGCATTGACAAGTTGAACGTGCGAAGGATCATCCACTATGGTTGGCCCCAGGTGCAATTACTCAGCTAGATATCCTTAATGTATTTTATTTAACTATGTCTATTTACTCATGTAAATGGACTCCATGAGAATCTTGAGCACCTTCTTATTTTGTCTTTCTTCTCAAAGTATGATTGTATATATGTTTATATGTGTTGTTAAGAACACCTATGTGAGAGGGAACTTGTTTAAACTATTTTCTTTTAGTTGCCTTTTTGTTACTATTTCAGTTTTGCTTCTTGGTCAAGCTATTGTAACCTTTACAGAGTCTGGAGGCTTATTATCAAGAGGCTGGTCGAGCTGGTCGGGATGGAAAAGTAGCAGAGTGTGGTCAGTTGATTTGATTTTTTTATGTGTTGTTTATTTGTCGTTATCTTGAGAAGAATCATTTTACTTCCAAGAGAAAAAAATGTTATCCACTGGTTCATCATTTATAGCAATGTTTGGGATTGTGAGATGAACAATTTCCCAATTGATGCATGAGATCAGTTTCTTGGAGATAAATAACATATGCGTTTTTTTTAGTAAAATTGGAAAGTTCTATGTTAGAATTCAAAAGCTAAGGACGTAATTTCTATGAAATACTTAAATATTGTGAATTTGCAGACATAAAAAAATAAAAAGGTTATGCAACCTCTTAATTCTAGTCTAAAATGGATACACGTTGGATGTCCACAGAAATTTTGGCATGATTACATTTAACTGTTTTTTTCACCTTTTCTAATTGTTTGACATTCTTGATCAAGTGATTGACTTTAAAAACCTAGGAGCTAATCCTAGAATCATATTCATTACAAAAAGTTAATTGAATGTACAAAGTGTCTTCTTGAAGGTACTTAGTTTAGAAAGAAAAGTAAACATAATAATGACACAGTAACAACAAAGGAAGAAGTTGATGATAGGATTTTAGCGCAGTTACTAGAAAATAAACTTGGTGAGAGGAAATCTGACTATTGTCAAAAATATTACTATATGAATAGCTTTGGTGGTAAGGAACCTCATGCCTTCTCCTGGGTTTAGCAGAGTTTATCATGCAGTGCACAAGTCTGGTTTTGATACACTTATACCAAAATGCTCTCTTATTCAACTTAAATTATCCAGAAGAGTAATGTTGATCTATTGATCTAGAGATAGGCTTCCAACAGGGGAGGCACTACATGTATTTTTAAGCTGTTTGATTTTTGTGAAACAGTTCTGTATGCAAACTTGTCAAGAACACCTACGCTTCTACCAAGTCAAAGAAGTGAGGAGCAGACAAAACAAGCATATAAGATGTTATCTGATTGCTTTAGGTTGTAAGATAATTAATAATTGAACGACTTCAATTAGTACTTTGGTATCCATCTTATGTGTTGGTTATGTTCAACAGATATGGAATGAACACTTCTTGCTGTAGAGCCAAGACACTTGTGGAGTACTTTGGCGAGCACTTTCTTTTGGAGAAATGTCTGGTGTATGTCAAGACATACTGGCTATTGTGCTTTCTCTTTTGTTCCTTACAAGCTGCTTCATGTCAAGGATGTGTGCTTGTGCTTTTCTGTTCATTTTCTTCCACTTTCCTTTCGGGGTGGGTGTGGAGGGCAAAGAAACAGCAGCACTATTGATGAGCTATAAGTTTGTAATATTTGATTCCTCTTAAGTTAGTCTCTAAATTGAGGTTTCAGGTACTCGTTTAATCACAGGACATGCCACTTAAAAGAGCGATTCATTTGCAGCAGTTAAAAGTAAATGATGACTTCCTATGCATGTAAAGATGTGCCAAATACATCGCATTGGCTAATATCTTTCTCAATTCATGCTTACTGACATTTGCCTTCATCTTATGAGTAAAATCAATTTTTGCTCAATAAACTACATGTTTATCATAGGTTTTCTTACTTGCAATGAGTTCAGTTTCTTAGTTTATGTCATTTACCTGGTACATAATGCACAGGTGTGATATATGCATCAAAGGTCCACCTGAAAGACAGAATTTAAAGGCTGAGGCGATGATCTTCTTGCAAGTTCTATCTACTCATTGTGTGAGTACGTTTGCCATCTCACATTTCCTTGCCCTCCTTTGTACTTTGTCATCTCATTTTGGCATTGCTGGTCATTGTTAATCCTTCTGGCGCAGAGGAATTTTGCAGACATCTCCTATGGCGGTTATGAAGGGAGACTTAGCGAGAGGCCAAACATCAAGGCTTTAGTCAGCAGAATAAGGGAACTGGTACTTATTCTGCTCAAGGCCCTCTCTCTCCCTCTTATCCGTTGCTATCTGCTAGTTTCATGTGCATATACCCCATTGAAATTTCTCAGGGAGGGCCCTTTAAGAAAGCATGTCTACCAAGGGATATGACAAAGAACCTACAAATTTTCCTTCAATTTGAATGAGCTTCTTATTACCTTGCCAGTTTCTGTGATCTTTCATGCCCTGCCAATATAGTTCCCTGGAGATATATCATGTTTGTAATTTGGATTGCTCTTGAAGAGCTTTCTTCAAAATCTTTTTTGACATCAATCATATGTTGGGATGCTTATAATAATCTGCAATTCCCGTCTTATGGTATGAAGCTACTACGTCACACTGAAAATAGGTTCAACTTGTCGAGCAGGTGTTCTCCAGCTACATGTTACTCCTACTCTTAACAAGGTTGTGTTTAATTCTCATCTCTGAAGTGCCAATTTTCTTTTACAGAAACTTTGTCAATCCGCTGTGCATTTATTCTGGTTTACTATACCACTTTAAAGTTACTCATTTTGTAGAGAGTACCTTTTAAGTTACTCATGCATTCTTCTATTCTTGTAAATTCTCGTACTTATGGGGAATTATATTTATATCTACCGTTGGTTCCAATCTTTCCAGTAGCTTATAACGTCAACTCCACTCTTCTATTTCGTGTTCAACCAATGCAAGAGATTGCCAGATATTTCTTTTATTGAAATTGATCTGTTTTTGTTGTTTTCTAACATTTTGACAACATTGCTGCTAAGACTCTTTTGTGTTTTACCGTGTCCTATTGCAACTCTAATCTTGTCATTTGTCTTCTGTTATTTTGGTGTAGTATCAACAATTTAGTGCAAGTGACCTCTTGTGGTGGAGAGGTCTTGCTCGACTATTGGAAGTTGAAGGGTTTATTAGGGAGGGCGATGACATGGTATGCTTTCTGCATAGTAACCTTTGTTATTTCATAAAAGGTTTTACCACTAAGTTTTGGCACTATGTTTCTCAAATCCATCCAATCTTCATCACTCTTATGACCTATCTGATATATTCTTCTCATTTTATACTTTACTGTATTATGGTTTTAATTAATCATGCTGCTCTCAATGCTGAAAACTCCAATTATAGAAACATGTACGATGTGGTAGCCTGGCTGGGAGTGGAAACAAATACTTGGAATCCTTTCTAATTTCCTATTATTGGTCTAATGAAGGTTCAGTTGGTTTATTCTATATTGCAAGTCTAGAAGTTTCACTAACAAACATCAAGTTGGTTCCAAAAAGTAGTACCCTATGTAAGGATTATTTTTTGAAATCAGTAATGCTAGGAAGGCTACAAAGATCCTAGCATATCTACTAGTTGCTCTACCTCCACTATACATTCCCGTTTCCACCAAAAATACAAATATGCAATACAACAATTTTCTTTAACTTTTTGTATGGAGTTTGATCTGTTCTCATAGCATCTTCCATTTTTTTCCTTCCATATTGACCACCATACGCTAGCTGGAATATTTCTCCACCACTTGTTTTGGCTTTTACTTCCTCCTCTCCGAATCCAGCAACTCAACAGGTCAGCAGTATGCTCTAGCATTGTCCAGCTGTTACCAGTGAGCGTCAAAAACAGAGACCATAGTTGATCTGTGACTCTACAGTGTAGAAAAATATGGCTGTTGGTCTCATTGCATAGAAATCACCTTGGTACTAGTTGTTCACCTTTACTTTGCAGTACCTCCTGAGTCAGACAAGGCCTCTTAGCTACCAACCATACAAAACATTTGATCTTGGTTGGTGCTTGGCTTGTCCATACATATTTCCATCTAGCCATTCTGAGGCCTTGGTGAGTTTCCAATTCCTTCTTATAGAGCTTGTTAATTATGAACCTTCCATCCTTCGAGTGTACCCAAGATACTGTCTCTGGCCTTGTAGCAAAACAATTAAACTCATTGATTACATGTAACAATTGTGCTACCCTATCTATTTCCCAATCATAATAATGTCTCCTGAAAAATATATCCCATCCATTTGCCCAACTCTCAGCTAGAATGATATCTGGATTGCTACAGCAAGAAAATAAGTCAGGGAAAGATTGCATTAATGCTACCCAAACATCTTTCTAGAATAGTATTTTAGTCCATTTCCTATTCTGAGTTTGACGTTTCCTGCTAATTAGGTAGTTTGGTCCAGAAGGATCTTATTGTTTTCCATGTTGAAGCTCCATATGGTATAGTGATCTCATTGGTACACCATTGGGAGTCTTGGCCATACTTGTGATGTATAACTTCTCTCCAAAGATCCTGTTCTTCTTCCACATATCTCCACATCCATTTCATCAAGAGACACTCATTGTGGATTCGGAGATCCCTAACTCCAAGACCACCTGATAGCTTAGGTAGCTGCACTGTCTCCCAGTTACGCTTCATAGTGTTCAAGATGTCTTCCTTAAAGACACTCCAAAATTCTTTAAAGAAGCTCATTGGGAAGCGCCTTGCCTTGTCACTGACACAATGATTAATGTCTTTTAGGAATTCTTCCTCAAAACTGTCTCTGCATACGTTCCTCCAAGCTAATGTTGTGAAGTCTTGTAAGTTTAGATTAGGTCCTCCATGTTTGTCTCTTTGTGGAGATTCTGATAGTAGTCATGTATTTTCATCTTGATAACTTCTGGATCAGTGATACATGTCCCTCCCTCTTCAACTTTGTCAATGCCTCAATGGTGTTGCATCTCTTATGTGGCGTGGCCATTCTGTGATAGTATTATCTTCATTTTTCAACCATTGGATTCTAAACCTCTGTCTCCATTCTATCTCCTCATTCTTGACCACCTTCTCGAAGTACATTGCCAAATGAACTTTCTGGAGTAATTCATCAACCGTGGGTGCTCTTTGCTCCATGATATTTTCTAATCCAGTAATTTGGTTCAGGATGTCCTCCCTCTGTCTCTAGTTATTCTTGTTTTCCTTCCCCCGTTCTTTTAACTTTCCTTTTAGGAGTTTTAGTTTGGTAGTTACTTGTATGTTGGGCTCCCAGTTACATTGAAAGAGGCCCGCCATTCTTTTACCCTCTCTTTGAAACCATCCACTCCCAACCACGATTGTTCAAACTTAAATTATGATTTCTTGAAGTCCATATCTCCACATGTAAGCACGATGGGGTTGTGGTATGATCCCAATTTCGGCATCAATGATTGTTTGACGTGTAGATATTGTTCCTCCCACTGTGAAGAGTAGAGGAATCTATCTATTCTGGAAGCTCATGATTTTCACTCCTCCAAGTGTAAGACCCTCCAAATAAAGGAGGGTGTACAAGCTCCATGCCATTGATCCATCCTGAAAACTGTTATTGCACTATAGATTCTTTGGCAGTTGGTTCTCTCCTCTGGATATCTGGTGATGTTGAAATCCCCACATACTACCCATGGTCTCTCAAAAAGGCTTCTAGTGGCTGCCAATTCCGACCAAAGCTCCCTCCTTTCCCCTCTATCACATTCTGCATAAATTGCACTTAAATGCCATGTCAGTTCTGGCTCTATGCCCTCAAATCTACAAGTAAGCATTCGATTTCCATTGTCTACCATTTCCCCCTTCCAAACTTTTTTGTCCCATAACACTACTATCCACTCACTCCTTCCAATAGCTTCTACCTGAGCTTCTCCCAACCATATGTTGTTCTAGATTTGTTGGTAAAGATTTGAGTCATTACTTGTTAGCTTAGTTTCAATCAACACATGAATGCCAGCCCTTCATTGAAGCAACAAATTTCTTATGTTGCTCTTTTGCTCTCCTCATTTAACCCCCTAATATCCCAATTTCTTTATTTTTTTGGGAGAAGGTAACAACTTGTATTCTATTCCAAAACAAAAAAAACAGATCCTGGCACAACAGATTACTGGTTCCTAATTACAATTGTGGAAAGTAGCAGGAGGATCTTCAATCGTATAGCAAAATTTAGATCTTCCATGTACTCGTGTTTACACCAAAAAAGAAACAACACTAAGCCGTTCATCTTAATCTTCTGGATGGAATTACTCTTGTTTTGGAAGCAGCTGAGATTTCTTTCTTTCCACACACAGACCACCAAATGCAAGCTGGAATGATATTCCACCTCTCTTTATGCCCAGTAATGCTTGCATAACTGCTCCATATCTTCAGGGGCTTGGTAATTTTCCTAGGCATAACCCATTTCATGCCCTTCAGATTGGTAAAAACATATCACAAAATGTTGGTTATTCTACTGTGAAATAAGAGATGGTTGACAGTCTCTACTTCTTCTTCACCACATAGGAGGCACTTAGCACTCAATTGAATATATCTTTTCATAAGATTTTCCTGGGTCAAAACTGTCTCCTTAGCAAGGAGCCAAGTAAAAAAAGACACTTTGTAGGGGATTTTAGTTTTCCATATCAACTTCCATGGCCACCTGTTTCTCTAACTGTTACAAGGATTAAACTTCTTGTAGGCTCTTGTGACACTGAAATTATCTTGATTGTGATCCTGCCATTCCAAACTATTCTGTGCATGAGTAGTTCCTTTGAATTGCCCCAAGACCTTTCAAAACTCCACCAACCTTTGGATCTCCCCGTCATTAAGAGGTCTTCCAAAACTCAGATTCCACCTTTGGCTTGACCACAACTATTCTGTGCATGAGTAGTTCCTTTGAATTGCCCCAAGACCTTTCAAAACTCCACCAACCTTTGGATCTCCCCGTCATTAAGAGGTCTTCCAAAACTCAGATTCCACCTTTGGCTTGACCACATCTGCCACAGTGGCCCTTTGCTGCTGGTTTAGGGTGAAAATATAAAGGAAAGGTTTTTGAAGATCCTTGTTCTAGCCATCAATCTTCCCAAAAAAGAGTTTTTCCTACCATTACCTAATTTAATACTGCGTCTCCTCTGAGCTTTGGCCAGTGGTTTCTGATGGCTCTTAAAGGCTCGATCCGTACGTGCTAGTGACCATTTTAGCTGTCCAGAGATCCTATATTTCATATTCAGCCTGTGTTGCATCTTTCCACAAAGCTTGCTCACTGGAAGCGAATCTCCATAGCCTCTTCATCATAAGGCACTGAAGAAAGTTACTGACTATGTGAAGAGAAGAAACCTTATAGGAGAGCCATTTTTTAAAACTGAGAATTTCACGGTGCTGATGCAAAACTTCGTCCATCTTTAACCATCTACCTCCAAAACCCTTTTTAGAAAGAGTCTCCAATAGGAACTTTCAGTTGAGGTGGTCATAAGCTTTTCGAATGTCCAACTTACGTAATCTAGTTTTAGCATCAACATATTCATTAGCCATAAGAATGACATCCACTATTTGTCTCCCTTTTATGAAGGCCACTCTTGGGGGTCCACCAGTTTGTGCATAACCATTTTGATTTTCTCGGTGAGTATTTTGGAGATGATCTTGTACATTACCAATTAGGCTAATGGGTCTGAAGTCAGCGAGCTCCTTAGCACCCATTTTCTTTTGGGAATTAAAGCCGCATAGGTAGAATGAAGTTTTTCTCAAAGACACATCTCTCACGAGAGTTCTTGACTGTAGCAATCACATCTTTTTTTATAACCTCCCAACAATGGGTATAGAAGGCCATGGTAAAACCATCAGGGCCAGGATCTTTGTCACTAGCACAAAGTTTGACACTATCCCAAATCTCTTGGTCCTCAAATTCCTTATGAAGCATGAAATTATCTTCAGCATTAATCTTGTGATCCATCCTACACCTACCTGAAGGTCTCCAAGTTTTTGTTACAGAATATAACCCCATATAGAAAACTATAATTTCCCTTTTTTTATGTTTTCTGGATTCTTGACTACTTCACCCTCCAAAAGCAGTAATATATATTGATGCCACTAGGCATCTACGTAGGAGTTCGTCCGCCTTTGGATTTGTAGGCATGAAAAGAGTTTACCTCCTGCTGCATTTCTTGTTCCATTTGAGCCCATCTGTTACTGTGTGATGCTTCTTTATAATTTCTTTCCCCTTCAAGCTGTGTATTCAAACCATTTATGAAGCCTTTAATTTTTGTTGCAAGCCCCAACCACCCCTCATTAAAGTTGTTCTCAGTTAGAATTATTACTGATCTGGATGCACCATTTACTGCAATCATACTGTTATGACCTTAATAGGATCACAAATTCAATTTACAATTTGAATTGGAAATCACAGAAACCAAACCAACTTTATTGATAATCGGAAGTCTCAATTACACGTAATGAACTATCAACTAAGAACTTCATAACCTCCATAGAAAAGCTGTAAATGAGAAATGAAGAAGAAGGATGAGAACAAAAGGAAGTACAGAGAAAGAAAAAGATAGAAGAGAAACAGAGAAGCAGAAAGGAAAGAAACGTGACTTTTCCAAAAGTTAGTTATCCTTCTCTCTCCTCTAATCACTATTATATAACCACCTTCAATCTACGTGGCATCATCCTCACCATTGCTTCCCATTAAATCCTAGCCGTTCCTTTCTAATGTTAGTTACTTCTTCCAAAATTCAGTTACTACTGTAGCCTTGTTCCGATATCGAATCCCCACCTCTCCATAATTTTGCTACACTGATCTTCACTTCATAATCTACCATATTTATTGAACTTCAAGGAGAAGTATAAATAGTTAACCAGATCTTTGCCTCTCCACTATTTAAAAGCTTTCCCCCTTATGTCTGATGCCTCTCGCAACCTCTTGACTAACCATAACAATGCTGCTTTGCTAAGTGTCATCCTTTGCATGTGGTTCTTTGAGCTCCCCACCTAGTTGAACCAAGTTCCATTAGAAGATTTTGTCTCGGTTAAGTCGTATGATCTGCCACCCAGCCTAAAATAATACGATTCTCCATTGGAGGAGAGAAGGTTACAGAAAGGAATGGAAAATACTATCCCCTCGCGGAAGGATTATATGGCCCCCAATTTTCGTGAAATACAAGGTGCTCATTGAATGCAAGATGCACACATGACTTTGCTAGAGTCATACATTATGTTCCACCAAGTTTGACCAACTATCCATTCGATATGCTATTTTTTATGTCATATCAAAAATACAAGTGAAATAGAAAAGATCTTTTAATACTTTCTGTCATTCTCACTATTATGAAACATTTTCCTATTTGTACATATTTCGTTCATTCCGCATACTCCAAAAGAGAAAGGCGGTTTGTCTTGCAAGCTGCCTTACTTTCATTGCCTATCCTCTCCAATCGCCAACTTGTAATTGTTTCCTCCACTGTCAGTGATTACGCCCAAAAGATGTTAAGGAATGAGAATGCAACACTCCATAGTTGTAAAGTGAACCTCCCAACGTAACGAGAGATGATTAGTATCTTCTCCAGATTCTTCCCACATACATACCGACTCACAAGTATCCTCCACCTTAATTCTTGTGTTGTCCGCTGTTAAAATTGCGTCTTGCACCGCAAACCAAACAAGAAAAGTTGCTTTTGAAATTTGATGTGTCAAACCTTTTTCCGCATATTGCTATTATCTCCGATTTCTGACGACTCTAGATCATAGGTTTCAATGGTCTTTAGCACCCATCCCTCCATATCAGTTTATATCCTTACTCATCCTCGGTTGGATAATTATATTATTTCTGAAAGTAAAACTAGTACTGTTATAATTTGAAATGTCCTGGATATGAGTTTTTTTAATTATGAAAAGAGGTCAAGGGTTTTGGGTCAAAGCAAAAAGACAATAGATGGTTTTATTGGGACAAGACTGTCTTATGATAAGATTTGTCTCCCAGGAAAACTGCATTAGTTTGATACTGTCACTAAGAATAAGACATTTAATTACCCCTTTGCTTGGTTTGTGCTATATTTGAGATCTGCTTGTTTTACTTTTATCCTTCTGGTTCCTCCTGTTTGATGGAGATATGGAAAGATAGAACTAGTCAAATATGTGAAAGTTTTGAGTGTTAAACCAGCTGTTGTTTCCATTGTACTATGGTTTCACGACAATATTGGTATGATGCCTCTCTAGCGGTATATTTCTTCTGGGAGGGGGGTTAAAAGTTCTCAGTTGGTGCCTTATTTTCCGCTTTCTTTATGCTATGTTACCTTCGAAATCAATCTTGAACTTGGAGTATGTTTGTATTTGGATATTTTCAATGCTACGGATGATGATTTATGGCGACGAATGTTACAGACTCGTGTGCAGATAAAATATCCAGAAGTAACAGTACGTGGAAGGCAGTTCCTGAGTTCTGAAACAGAGCAGCCATTCCATGTTTATCCCGAAGCAGATATGTTGGTTTCCATTACAAGCCCCAAGTCCTTTTCCAGTTTTGCTGAATGGGGAAAAGGGTGGGCTGATCCCGAGATCCGTCGCCAACGCTTGCAAAGAAAGCGAACTTGGAAATCTCCAAGAAAACGAAAATCACGTAAACGTCAGCCTGATTCTAATACGGTTCGAGGAAGATTGACTGCCAAGCTGTCAAAAAAGTGACACAAATGTGAAACAGTCAACCTTGTCACAAGCGCACTCAGTTCATTTTTGGTTTATTCCTTTTCCATTTATGTCTAATTTCTGCTTCCAGATTCTTTCATTTCCTTCACGGAATATAATTCACTTCAAGCAAGTGATGCCAATATTTGATTCAAAGCAAAGTATCAATTTCCCTTTCTATATTTTACTTCAACAAATTCATCTACTTTAGATGGTTCCTCAACATGTATAATAACATCACCTTTGCAATTATAGGCTTTACATCATCATTCTTGCTATACTTGAGGAAAAGGCAAAAGAAGGAAATAGCAGCAGAGAAATTGAGGATAGTAACAGAAGCATTAGAACGAGCTGAAGACAGAGTTTTAAGGTATGAAGAAAGACACGACAACATACTTAATCAAATAGGTTCACATTACATTGTAAGTCAAGAAATAGTAGAAGCACTTTGTGGTGCTCGAGAAGCGATGAATGAAGCATTAGAATTTGCAATTACGCTCAGAAATCTACAGCTAGAAATTATCAGATTGTACCCTGATGGTTATGAAAGTGCTTCAAGGCCTGTTTGGTTAATTAGAAAATTAAGAAGACAAGGGAACAGTATTAATTAGCATAGATCTTCATACGTGTTCTTCTTTGTATTTGTTGATTACTAAATGAAAATTATCATCATCAAGAATTTTTACAAGGGAAATATATATACCATGAAAGAGGAAAAATAAAAGTTTTATTTGCTCAAAGAAAAAACATGTCTACCGATGTAAAATAATAAGTTTCTCCAGAAAGGTACAAATAAAATTGTTCCCATTCCTAATTCCAAAATAGTCCGTTGTAGCAATGGCAAGTCTCTCTCGTCTTGTCTTAGGCGTCATCCACCTTTGGGTTCAAAATTGATCATATTTTAATTGTTTTAAAATCAAACTCTTTAAATATTTTTTTAAATATTGGGCGTCCAACTATTAATTATAATTTTATAAACCAATACACTACCCACTCATTACTAACTAAACCTCACTCAATTAATAATTCAATTATAATATCAAAATCGTCATAAACATTACTAAAACACGATGAAATTATAAATTACTGAAAATGACATTCAAAATTATTCGAGTCCAAATAGAAGCACCAATTAAATTTAGGTTGAGCCGCTTATTTAGGAGGACACTTTCTTTCAAAATTGAATTAGAAATTTATGATTAAAGGTAAAGAAATAATACATCCCGAATTAATTCATGCACTTTTTTAAAATATAATTTTATAAATATTTATGATTTATTTTAAAACCTTTAATATATTATTTTGAAAAAAAGTTACCTATGAACTAACATCACATAATTGAGATGTAAGAATAATTAAGATGAACATAGTCAGACTTTTAAGTTTATCGGTGATTTTCATGTAACCACTTGAATGTATGATAATTTACATCTATAATTTTTAAAAACACTCAATTGGCAGTAGCTTGCATTAATAATGTGACGGGTTCAATAATTTAGAGGGATTTAATTAGTAATGGGTGGGTAATGGATTGATTTATAAATTACACTAATAAGTTAAATTATAACAAATAGTTGAGCGCCACGTATTTTAAAAATATTTAAATAGTTTAAATATAAAAACGTTAAATAAGTGATCAATTTTGAACCAAAAAGGTGGATGACAAGGGTATTTTGGACTCAATAGGTGGGTGAGAAGGGTATTTTGGAGCCAATAGATGGATGAAGGGTAATTTTGTACCATTTTCAATACTTTGAGGGTATTTTAAGCCCTTTTCCGTTCTTTTAATATATATTTGAATATAAAGATTCGCATTAATATTTTAGTGTTTTGATTTGAATATTAAAATGTAGTCTCTAAGTTTAAATACTAAATAATTAATGTTGTTTATTTTCAATATCTGAATGTACAAGTGAAATTGAATATTATATTAATAAAATATTATAAAAATTTCATTTCAACAAAAATATATCACTTTTGATTAAAAAAAATGTTTCAAAAATTTTAATAATCATGATTTGGACTACTATGTTTTCATTCAAAAACCTTGATAAACAACAATACACCAAAAAATTATTGCAACCACTGTTCTCGACACACGACATTACAAGAAATTATTAATATAAAAAATACTTGAAAGGATTTATAAAAATTTATCAGTTCAAGAGAAAAAAATGGTGTTTGATTGAGAAAGAGAAAAAGAAAGTTTTTAGTTACGAGATAAAAAGGCACGCACAAAGTAAAGAGGCGATGATTTATCATTTGATAACTTATCAAATAAGCCTAAATGTTGTTAAGGGTCTCGTACAAATTTCATTCGTTCAGACTTATTAAGAGTTTTTTTTAAAAAAAATATAACAAATAAATTTAATTAGCTGAAACTGGATGATTCAGAAACAGACCTAAAAACTAAACGTCTTAATGAGTTAAATATAAATTATTTAGATTCATGCCTCCATTAAGTGTAAATAAATGAGGCATTAATGAATGCCATTTTTTAGATCTTAATTTTTAAGTGTAATTCTTTTAACATTATTATTATTTTTATTAATTAAAATATTTTAATTAACACCACTTAAAAATTATAATATCCATAATATATGTCAGTATTCGTTTCACACTTAATAAGATGATTTTTTATCATACAATTTAAATATATAACATATTTTGATTAAAAATTAAAATTATTAATCATATTGTCTAAAAATAATTTTGTAAATAAAAATCGTACGCGTGTAATTTATTTAGGGTCATAAGGATAGTCTGATAATTTATCGAATTTTTGAGCCAATTGAATTTCCCGAATTTTGTATCTTCTTAATATATTTACACTTTTTCAACGATTGACTCGTGGATTGTTTTGGAAAGTTCTCCTAATACATTTACTTTCACTTATTTTGTTAAAAAATTGTTGAACATTTTGTTTATTTTGGTTCAGGATTTTTCTTTATTGCTTCATTTTATTTTATTTGGTTCCTATGTCTCATATATAATAATAATAAATATAAGAAGAGGGGATATCGTATGCAATTTAATAGTTACAATAAGAATATTATGAATCACAATACTCAATAATATACTTAAAAAATATAATTAAAAATTTTGATCGACGTATGTATATATTTTTTTAAAAAATATGCTATAAATTGAGATAAAAGAAGTATCATATATTATCTAAAAATTGTGTTAGGAGTACTAGAAATCACAGCTTAAAATATTTTAAATATGGTAACTGTCGAAATTTCACATGAATCACATATATTGAGAAAGAGAGAATAACATATATTATTTGAAAATTACTTTAATTAAAATTATTTTTAAAAATATATTTAAAATTTGATTGACGTTTAATTTCACACCTATCTCATAAATTAAAATAAAAATAAATAACATATATTATTTTTTTTAAAAAAGTTGTGTTAAAATAATATGAATCACGATAATTATTATGTATTCAAAACATAAATGGAAACAAATGAATATTGTAATTTGTATCTAGAAATATTAATATGCATTACATTTACCTGTGTTTTAATTTTATATTTTTTTTAGAAATAAAAAAGCGTGTGGCGTGATACGTACGCATAACGCGGTTGATGTCTCACTTATATATATACGGTGGCTGTAACAGCATTTGCCTTTCAAGCCTTAGCGCGGGACAAATGGCGCTGTAGAGGAGGGGTTCCAACTTTTCGTTTCTCTAACACTAACGTTTAGGTTTTCACTGTTCTTCGTCTGCGATAGTGTAAGAATCTTTCATTTATTCAATTCTTGATTTGATTATCAGTGTTGTTTTAAAGATTGAATCAAGAAAACTGAAATACTCACCAAATTTCAACCTTAAAAACAGCGTATGTTCACAAGTTCTCAATTTGATTGTTAGGATGATATTAAGTAAACAATTAGTGTAATGAGGAAAATCACTTGGCGATAGTTGGGAAATTATGTTATTAATGGTCTTTTGTGAGAACTTCTTGTTAATTCAATTCTTGATTGGAGTTAGAGAGTTATTACATTTTCAGTGTTATTTTAGGTTATTACAGCACTGAAACAAGAAAACTGAAACCCTTTCTGACCTTAGATTGTCAATTCTTGATTGAAATTAGATAATTATTAGATTATCACTAGACTTTCCAACCTTGAAATTTTATTGTTAATTCAATTCTTGATTGAAGTTGGAGAATTATAAGATTAGCAGTTCACTTTCCAACCTTAAATTTTTTCTTGTTAATTCGATTATTGATTGAAGATAGTGAATTATTAGCTTTGTAGTGTTATTTTAAAAATTGCAGCATTGAATCTAGAAAACTGAAATACTTTCCAACCTCAAAAATAGTCAATGTAGTTGAAGCGGGTTCCTATTCCTTTGCCCAGAAGTTCTCAATTTGTTTGATTGTATTTACATGATCAGATAGATGATATTCAGAACAAATGTTGTCGGAAAAGGTAAACTTCTTGGGAAACTATGTAAATATTGGGAGAACTTCTTTGTTTCAATTCTTGATTAAAAAAAAAACAAGAAGAAAATTCAATTCTTGATTATCAGTGTTATTATTAAGTGATTGCTGCATTGGATCAGGAAAACTGAAACACTTTCTGACCATGAAATTGTTCTTGTTATTCATTTCGTGATTGAAGTTAGAGGTACACTTTCCAACCTTAAAAATTAGTTTTGTGTTTGTAAGTCCCCCAAAATAGTTTGTTTAATTGTATGTCAATCTGGAGACTCTGACTTTTGTGTGTATGTGCACTCTTTGATCTTTGCTGCATCGTCTTGAAACAACTATTGTCACAGTATGGATCCAGACCAAGTTGTTGCTGGATTGGTTGGAATGGGATTTTCGTTATCTGATATTGCTAATGCTCTAGAAGATGTGGGTCCATCAATTGCTAGTGTGATTGATTATCTACTCGATGATTCTCGAAGAAAAACTGCAAGCGCATCAACTAGTACTGCATGTTTCACCCGTCGTGCTGGTATGAGTGTGATGTTTTGCAAGATATTGATGATTTGGATGGTAAAACTCTTCTTTGGGTTAACGGATCGTTTATACAGAGTACAATTCCAATTTAAGAGAAAATTTGATTTACCCATATTCCATAACACTAAAGATTACATGACCTATAACTCGACCTGTTACCAAAGTCCGAAAGCCACAGCAAAGACCTTGAAAATTATTTTGCGTAAACATAGAGAATTTTAAAATCTTAATAGTAGTTACCATAGTGTGGATTGAACCAATTCCTTTTGTTTTGTTGTAGCTGCAGCAGTACTTTCGTCCACATTCTGAAGTGTTTAAGTTTTAGTTTTCTCACTTGCAACAACCCTGGGCAAATCTATCTTCACATCAGTGCAAGATTGTTTAGTATGAGATTCCAAGAGGATATACCTTAGCTTGAGATAGATATGGCTTATCCCTGGCAGTTGATGGAGGAAAAAACCTTGAATTATCTTATTGTACGACACAAATCTCTTAGTTCATGATCAAAAAAATACATTCGATGAAAGTATATCATCCTACTCTTTCTTGCATTCTCAAACTTGACCTTTTTGTGTGACAGATGGTCTGTTCATTTCTTAGAATCGAATAAGGGAGATTTTTTTTGTGGGTTTTCCTTATCCTCTAACTGCTCATCCTACTCTTTCTTGCATTCTCAAACTTGACCTTTTTGTGTGACAGATTAGTCTCTTCATTTCTTAAAACCAAATAAGGGAGATGCTTTTGTGGGTTTTCCTTGTCCTCTACCGGCAATGTTGCAGCTTATGTAAAGACTTTATCTTCTCGTCAAAGGTACCTTTTATGGGTTTTCTCATTGGCTACCTAGAATGTAAATTTATTCTTTTAAATTATAAGCTTGGTCATTTATCCCTATAACTTGCTTTATGAATTCAAATAAATTGTACTGATGTTAATAGTTGTTGCAGTTTCTCTGGGTAAATTTTGTGGAGAACTACTTCTGAAAGGTTGCACAAAGCTCCTGATCTGGCCAATGATTCAGAAGAAAGAGCTAAGCTTCTAAATTTCTTTCTAAATTTGGGATCAAGGCATGCTGCTTAAAATGCTAAGGTAATATATATCCCATAAGTTAAAGTTATTATATGGCTCCCCTCTGATTTTATTGATGTTGAGTTTATTTTGCCACCAAATTATTATTGTTTGAAGGACTTCAGATAATTTTGCATGGTCGCATGATGTAGGAGCATGTCTTTAGGATGCAAAATACCATGTTGTGAAAGTGGACTAATGGTGATCATAAGCATGCTGTTCAATTGGTTTTCTTTCATGTAATTTAGGTATAACTTGTCTTTGTGATGTTATGTGGTAGATGTTTGCTAGATTAGAATCAAGATCTAAATATATCACTGCCCAAGCCTATGGACATATTGTCCACTGTTGTGCAACAGACCTTACATATTGGTCTCTTATGCTACACCACCATCGAATCCAAAAACACGTGTACCATCCAAAGTTATGCTATATTTTATGTAACGTTCACTCTTTTCTCCCTTTTTGATGTGAGATTTGCCTTAAGTGTCAGATGTACCCCTTATTCAGAAGCTTGCCAATCTAAAAACTTTCCCGTCCTCGTTAACTAAAAACTTTGACTCATCCTCATGAACTCACCCACCGTCGTGAGTGTCACGTGAGGTTGCCTCCTTACAACTTAGCTTCCTTGCTAAGATATTCCCCATCATCTTACTGTGGGAACTTGGCTTTTATGTCATAGTTGGTGTAACATGAGCCCGTGTCACATATCGTGTGCTTTGGCTCAACAAAACTCACAGATTTGTCTCTTGGAGAACACTTTCATCAATGCCCAAAAGTGCTCATACCATGTGAACTTGTGCTATGTTGTTATATATCACTTCACTCATTTTTTGAGCTTTTCGACGTGAGATTATCCTATGGTGTAATATGTAACCCTCTGTCAGCAGCTTGGCAACATAGAAGCTTTCCAACTCTTTTTCTTTAACCTGCCCGCATCAACCCACTCTCCGTCCTGGGCATTACAAAAAATGATGTTGTTTATGAATGAAGTTGCTTGATATACTCTTCCTTGTCAATTGAGCAGTATCATGTGCTCTTTCTCTTTTCAGTTGCCAAAGTCACATCTGAGGCAGGTGCAAGGAATTTCACGAGACCACTTTGGCGGTAAAGCTAGGTGATGTGTTAGATGGAGTAATATTAACAAACTTCTTGTATCTTATTCAACAAGATAATCCATGTCTGTTGGTCTTTGATCCTTTGCATTTAATATTTTAGAATGATATGTGCATATTCCCTCGTGTTCTTGAAAAGGAAATTCATTGTTGAACTTATTGTTCTCATTTTTGTGTGAATCAAGTTGGATCGATTATGTCCTGATCTCATATGCTTTATAGGTTATTTATCAGAACTTGGTCCAATTGAGGGTTGATATGCTGAACCCTTCTAGTTTGACATTGAGGCATAGTACTAGTAGTATTTGTTTTATTGGTTTAATTAGTTCGGTTTTGTCCAATCTCCGTACTCTCTGATGCTATTTACTAATAGATGATTATAATATGAGAGGGTTTGTTCATTTAGAATATATTGTGGTATGCGAATCGAGGTTTTGACTTTTATTATTTAATTCCTGCTTGTGAACGAAAATTTTAAAAATAGTTTCAAAGTAAACTTCACTTCTAAAAAAAATTGCATTGTTTTCTGAATCGCCCTATTACATTGATAGATGCCACAAAGAAGTCTGCAACAAGGAATGGTGGTCCTATTAGTCCTGTTTCACGTGTCATGAGTTGTTCAACAATATGGAATGAACACTTCTTGCTGTAGAGCCAAGACACTTGTGGAGTACTTTGGCGAACACTTCTTTATGGAGAAATGTCTTGTGTATGTCAAGAAACACTAGCTATTGTGCTTTCTCTTTTGTTCCTTACAAGCTGCTTCATGTCAAGGAAGTGTGCTTGTTCTTTTCTGTTAATTTTCTTCCACTTTCCTTCTCGGAGTGGGTGTGGAGGCAAGGAATGTCCACAGCACTGTAAATGTTGTTTCTAATATCTGATTCCTCTTGAGTTAGTCCCTAAATTGAGGTTTCAGGTACTCGTTTTATCACAGGACATGCCACGTAAAAGATATATTCATTTGTAGCCGTTTGAAGTAAAAAGTTACTTCCTATGCAATGTGCCAAATGCATCCCATTGCTAATATCTTTTTCATTCATGCTTACTGATGTTTGCTTTAATTTTTTGAGTATAGTTAATTTTTGCTCAGGAAAATACATGTTTATCACAGGTTTTTCTTGCAATGAGTTCGCTTTCTTAGTTTATGGTATTTACCTGTGACATAATGCACAGGTGTGATATATGCATCAAAGGTCAACCTGAAAGACAGAATTTAAAGGCTGAGGCAATGATCTTCTTGCAAGTTGTGTGAGTGCGTCTGTCATCTCACATTTGCTTGCGCTCCTTCGTACTTCGTCATCTCATTTTTACATTTCTGGTCATTGTTAATCCTTTCTGGTGCAGAGAAATTTTGCAGACATCTCCTATGGTGGTTATGAAGGGAGACTTGGCGAGTAGCCTAACATCAAGGCTTTAGTCAGCAGAATAATGGAACATGTACTTTTTCTGCTCAAGCCCTCTCTTTCTCTCTCCTCTCTCTTCCTCTTATCTCTTGTATCTGCTAGTTTGATGTGCATGCCCCATTAAAAATTCTCAGCAAGGGCCCTTTTAGAAAGCACGTCTACCATAATATGACAAAAAACCTACAAATCTTCCTTCAATTTTAATGAGCTTCTTGTTATCTTGTGAAGATAGAAATTTAAGTGGAAAAATAGCACTCAGAAAGGGGGTGGGTTCGGCTATATACTCATGAAGGGTACATTCCGACTTGAAATGCACGAGGGCGTGAAGCAAAGACCCTAAATGGAGAGACTTGGGCTGAGAAAGTGATAACAAAAGTTAAGGAAAGATCAAGCTTTCAACATCAATTACAACAACATACCATAATATAATCCTACAAGTGGAGTATGGAGAGAGTGACGTGTATGTATACTTACCTTGTCTTGAGAAGAAAGCTCTTAAGGTCTATTTAGGATTGGAAATCAATAACTTAAAATTAGGAGAAACACTTCTTTTCCCTTCATATGATAAGCCTTACATTATATCCAGATTTGTGTTTCCCTTTCCCCCTAAATTCTAAGGAATTAGTTATAACTCTAGTAGTATGTTAACAATAAGAAGCGCATCTGGTGTAGTGGTATCATAGCACCCTCTCACGATACTGACCGGGGTTCGATTCCTCGGATGCGCACTCGATCCATTTTCCATTTTTGTCAAATTTACGGGTCCCATATTCTTTCATATCCTTTACCGAAGGAATATAATTCACTTCAAGCAAGTGATATGAAGTTATGCCCCTATTGATTCAAAGCAACGAATCAATTCCCCTTCCTATTTACTTCAACAACAAATTATCTATGTTGCAACTGAAAAAGCTGTATCATCATCTTATATTGGACCAGATTGGCAAAAGAAGGTCAAGACTTTGTTACAGAAACACTTTGCATTTTCATTGTTGAAGGATTTTCAGAAAGATGCTCTGGAATCTTGGTTATCTCACCAAGACTGACTTGTTCTTGCAGCAACAGGATCAGGTATTAGCCCCTCACATTTTTTCTTATTCACCGTTCCCACCATTCCTGTAAAATGTGATTTCCAATGTCTCAGAGTTATGTTTCTGTAGGGAAATCTTTGTTTTTTCAGATTCTGGCATTGCTGACTGGCAAGGTTGTCATAGTTATGTCACAGTTGATTAGCTTGATGCAGAATCAGTGTTTGAGGTTAGCAAAACATGTTGTTTCGGCTTGCTTCCTTGGCTCTGGTCAAACTGTTTGAAGTGTGGAACAAAAAACGATGGCAGGCATGTATAGCATCATTTATGTATGCCCTGAGACAATTCTAAGGTAGTGTGCATGTTAATCTTTTGAATTGTACTTCAAGGATAGTATTGGCTGTTGTTTGACAGATGAGTGTCCTTTTTTTATTTTTTCCTTTTCTTTCAGACTCATAAAACCCACCCAAAGCCCTGCAGAGAGTCGTGGAATTGCTCTATTTGCAGTCGATGAAGTTCACTGTGCTTCTAAGTGGGGCCATTATTTTCGACCAGATTACAGGTTTTATTCTTTTATTTGTTTGATAAATCAGAAGAATGCTATTATTTGGAATTGCTTCTTCCAGTTGAAGCTCAAGGAGCCTCTGTGTTTTTGTTGCTTCTGACAAGCAAATATAGACTTTTTTCTCCTCATTAATCTAGTAACACACCATAACAAATTTCTTAAGTTCCTTGAGTTTTGTTATCATTCTGTTATGAAGATAGTGCTTGCACTGTAGACGTGGTCTTTTGCTAGACCAGGCTATCAAATTACACCTGACTCTAGTCTGTCCCATTTATTTCCTAGTAATCTCTCTCATTCAATTACAGGGACTAGTTTACCAGTTGAGCGTAGATATGACTCTTACTACATCATGCTAATTAACAGATAAGAAATGCCATGCATATGACTAAACAAACCCTCGGTTTTATCTCTTATCAACTCTGTTCTAGCCAAGCAAAAGCTGCAGGAAAATATTGACACAGATTTTCCATGTATCATAGGCGATAATCTGTTTTGAAAGAGAACTTTAGAATGGACACCATGAAGTTTCTGAAGTTTGACATTCCGATCATGGCACTGGCTGCTACTGCCACTACTCGTGTTTGAGAAGACATTATGCAGTCATTGCACATGTCAGAGGCGACAAGAATTGTTCTCACTTCGTTTTTCCGGCCAAATCTCCAATTTTTAGTAAGATAATTTACACTGTGCTACGGTAATATTTTTGGTTTGGTATTCCTTGTATGTCCTGCATTTGCATTTGCTGCACCGTTTCATTCTTCTCTTTTTTTCTCTTACTTTTCCTTATTTTGTTTGATGTGTTTGTGTGTGTGTATGTAAAAGGGAGTGGGGTTTGAGATCACATTTATTTATTGTTAATAATCCATACACCGTTTAAACTCCCATGAAGTTAAATTCTTCAGAGAACTCAATACTTAAATTTTGACGTTATGTTTGCCCATCATTTACATTCACACTCAAGAACTAAATTACAACTTTCTTTGACTAGTTATGGTATTTAAACTAGATCCTTAAATCTTTGTGTCACTTCGTGTCTGTTGCATAATAGCATGAAAGGGCTATATACTGCATATTAAAGGTACAGTCTTCATTCTTTGTACATATGCTGATAGAAATAATGGTAAATCACTTCATTTCTGCTGCTTGTCGGTGGAGCACTCTAAAACATCATCTTTCGCATCCCACAACAAGGATTTTTATGAATTGATAAGCACTTATTCTGGAAGATGAGTGTGATGTTGTGTAAGATGTTTGATAATTTGGAAGGTAAAACTCTTCTTTGGGTGAAAAGATCGTTTATACAGTACAAATCCAATTTAAGAGAAAATTTGATTGACCCATATTCCATGACACTAGGGATTAAACAACCAATAACTCGATCTGTTACCAAAATCCGAAAACCACAGCAGAGACCTTGAAAATTATTTTGCGTATACATAGAGAATTTGAAATTTTAATAGTAGTTACCTTAGTGTGGATTGAAACAATTCCTTTTGTTTTGTCATAGCTGCAGCAGTACTTTCATCTGCATTCTAAAGTGTTTTAAATTTCAGTTTTCTCACTTGCTACAATCACTGGGCAATCTATCTTCACTTCGGTGCAAGATTGTTTAGTATGAGATTTCAAGAGGATATAACCTTAGTTTGAGATAGATATGGCTTATCCCTGGCAGTTGATGGAGGAAACAACCTTATCCTACGACAGAACGCTCTTAATTCATGATCAAAAGACCACGTTAGATAAAAGTATCTCATCCTACTCTCTCTTGTATTCACAAACTTGACCTTTTTGTGTGACAGATTGTCTCTTCATTTCTTTAAACCGAGTAAGGGAAATGTTTTTTGTGGGTTCTCCTTATCCTCTTACCGGCAATGTTGCAGCTTATGTAAAGACTTCATCTTCTCGTCCAAGGTACCTTTGAGGGGTTTCCTCAATTTCTTATTGGTTACCTAGAATGTGTATTTATTATTTTAAATTATAAACTGGTCATTTACTCCTATATCTTTATGACTTCAAATAAATTGTACCGATGTTAATTATTGCTGCAGTTTCTCGTGGTGAATTTAGTGGAAAACTACAACTGAAAGGTTATAGTGATTTTCTGTTGCACAAAACTCCTGATCTGGCCAATGATCCAGAAGAAAGAGCAAAGCTTCGACACAAACCGTTGCAGGACTGACCAACAATAATATATGCCCCGACTAGGAAAGAAATATTAAATATACCAAAATTTCTTTCTAAATTTGGAATCAAGGCTAGTGCTTACAATGCCAAGGTAATAGATCTCCCTCTGATTTTATTGATGTTGAGTTTATTTCGCCACCAAATTATAATTGTTTGAAGGAGTTTAGATAATTTTGCATGGTCGCATGATGTAGGAGCATGTCTTAAGGATGCAAACCATAGTTGTGAAAGTGGACTAAAGGTGATCATAAGCATGTTGTTCAATTTGTTTGTTTTTATGTAATTTAGGTATAACTTGTCTCTATGATATTATGTGTGGTAGATGTCTGCTAGATTAGAGTCAAGGTCTAAAAATTTCACTGCCGAAGCCTTTGGACTTATTGTCCACTTTTGTGCAACAGACCTCACGTATTGGTCTTTTATACTACACTGCCATTGAATCCAAAAAACGCATATTATCCAACTTATGCCATGTCTTATGTAACACTTCACTCTTTTCTCTCTTTTTGATGTGAGATTTGCATTAAGTGTCATATGTACGTACCCCTTATTCAGAAGCTTGCCAATCCTCGTTAACTAAAAACTTTCACTTTTTCTTGTTAACTTACCCTCCGTCGTTAGTGTCACGTGAGGGTACCTCCTTACAACTTAGTGTCCTTGCTAAGTTTTCCCCATCATCATACTTCGGGAACTTGATTCTGATGTCATAGTTGGTATAACATAAGCTGTGGCACATGTTGTGTGCTTTGGCTTAACAGAACTCACAGATTTGTCTCTTGGACAACTCTCCACTCATTTTTTTAGCTTTTCAACGTGAGATTTTCCTAGGTGTCATATGTAACCCTCTATGAGCAGCTTGGCAACATAGAAGCCTGCCTTCTCTTTCTCTTTGACCCACCCGCATCAACCCCCACCCTCTGTCCTGGGCATTACAAAAAATGATGCTGTTTAGGAATGAAGTTGTTTGATATACTCTTCCTTGTCAGTTGAGCAGTATTGTTTGCTCTCTCTTTTCAGTTGCCAAAATCACATCTGAGGCAGGTGCATAAGGAATTTCACGACAACACTCTGCAGGTAAAGCTAGTGATGTGTTAGATGGAGTAATATTTACAAACATTTTGTATCTTATTTAACAAGTTAATCCATGTCTGTAGGTCTTTTATCCTTCACATTCAATATTTTAGAGTGTTATGTGCATATTCCCCCATGTTCATGAAAAGGAAATTCATCACTGAACTTATTGTCCTCATTTTTGTGTGAATCAAGTTGGATCAATCTCTCTGTCTTGATCTCATATGCTTTATAGGTTATTTATCTGAACTTGGTCCAATTGAGGGTTGATATGCTGAGCCCTTCTAGTTTGACATTGAGGCATAGTACTAGTAGTATTTGTTCTATTGGTTCAATTAGTTCGGTGTTGTCCAATCTCTGTACTCTCTGATACTATTTACTAATAGATGATTCTAATATAAGAGGGTTTGTTCATTTAGAATATATTGTAGTATGCGAATCTAGGTTTTGACTCTAGTCATTTAATTGCTGCCTCAATTCTTATGAAAGAAACTTCTAAAAATAATTTTATAGTTAACTTCACTTTTGAAAAAAAATTACATTGTTTTCTGAATTGCCCACTTACGTTGTCATTACATGTTATTGATAAGATGCCACAAATAAGTCTGCAACATGGAATGGTGGTCCTATGGTTCTTTTTCACGAATCACGAGTGGTTCAGCAATATGGAATGAACACTTCTTGCTGTAGAGCCAAGACAGTTGTGGAGTACTTTGGCAAGCACTTCCTTTTGGAGAAATTTCTCGTGTATGGAATGAGCAATATTGTGCTTTCTCTTTTGCTCCTTACAAGCTGCTTAATGTCATGGAAGTGTGCTTGTGCTTTTCTGTTAATTTTCTTCCTTTGGAGGTGGGTGTGGAGGCAAAGAATTTTTTTTTAAAATTTATGCTTACTGATGTTTGCCTTTATCTTTCGAGTATAGTTAATTTTGCAGACATCTCCTATGGTGGTTATGAAGGGAGACTCGGCGAGTGGCCAAACATTAAGGCTTTAGTCAGCAGAATAATGGAACAGATACCCTCTCTTTAGTATGGTGTATGTAGTACCTTGCCTTGAGAGGGAAGCTCTTAAGGTCTATTTTGGATATGGAAATCAATGACTTGGTAAAGAAACACTTCTCACTTCATATGTTGTGTTTGCCTTTCCCCTAAATTCTTAGTAGTGGCACCATTAACAACAATAAGCGCATCTGGTGTAGTGGTATCATAGTACCCTCCCACGGTACTGACCGGGGTTCGATTCCCCGGATGCGCACTCACTTCTCTTTTTACTACAATTCTTAGCATTATTGCTTACATAGTTTACCAAATGATTCGCAAAATAATTAACTCGGGAAAAATATTGACAAATTTTTCATGAGAGACAACTTTAGAATGTATACCATGATTCGCAAAATAATTAAGCGGAATTGTTTTAATACATAGTTGCTGCAATGGTTCTTTCTTGTGTGTGTGTGTGTCAATTGTTTGCAAATGGACGGGTTGGATAAAATTTGGAGAAAATGATGTCTCATGTATGTCAAAGACACACTACACTGGCTATTGTACTTTCTCTTTTGTTCCTTACAAGCTGCTTGCTTCATCAAGTCAAGGAATTTTCATTCCTCTTAAGTTAGTCTCCAAATTGAGGTTTCAACTACTCGTTTTATCATAGGACATGTCACATAAAAGAGATATTCATGTGATTTAATACGAAGTTAATTATGCCCCTATTGATTCAAACCAAAGAATCAATTTCCCTTTCTATATTTTACTTCAACTTAACAATTCACGATGAATCCTCAACATGTCAAATCAAAATAACCAAAAAGGATCAAAATTGCCCTTGAACTATGTGAAATAAATTATTTATACCCTTTTTTATATTTTGAGATAAAAAAATGCCCCCGTTGTTATCCTAAGAGACAACAAATATACCCTCAAGAGTTAACACCTCAAATTTTTATTGACGTGGTAGGCCACGTGGAACTAATCCTTCCACCTAAGCGTTGCCAATTAGGATTCACTACAATAGAACTAGACCTTTAGCAGCGATAATAGTCGTCATAAAAGCCCAGAAAATCGTCACTAAAATCTTTTAACATTAAATTCTAATTTTGTATTTTTTCATTGTTTTTAAAAAGTCAAAAATAATATCGATTAAGTAGGAGTTTGAAAACATTGTATGTTTTATTTTTATGTCATATGTAAATATACAATGATACATTATATAGTAGGAAATTTGAATCGAGAAGTAATTTTGATGATTTTTCTTAAAAATATTGGATGTTTTTAATATTGATATTGCAAGTTATTTATTTTTTAAAATTATGTTGCAATCGAAAATTAATTATCACATATTTTTTGTTGAAAAAGTAATTTTTACTAACGAATGGTTGTTGAAGCTTAGTCGCCACTAAAAATCACACATAACCTTTAGTGACAACATTTTAAAATTTTGTGGCGACTTTATCCTTTAGTGGCAAGCCACATGGGACATATCTCCTAGTACTAGTATGATAGTAGGGGTGTTCACAATATCAACATTAACAACAAAAATAATTAATTTAATACGTCTTAGTTTTCAAACAAATTAAATTTAACTATATGAATACACACTTCTTCGTCATATAAGCTTGTATAATATCTATCATCAACCAATATTCACAAAATAACAACAAAATAAACTAGATATTTCATGGGGAAAAAAGATAGTAAAATACTAAAGAAAGAGAGAAATATATAAACCATGATCGAGAGGAAAAATAAATGTTTTATATATTCAAAGAAAAAATATGGAGGTTATATGTAATTTAATTGTAAAAATAAATTTGTTTCCACTTTCAAGACCAAAAGAGTCCGCTGTAGCACTGGCAATTCTTTCGTGTTTAAGAATCCGGGTTCAAATCCCGGCAGTGGAAATTTTTTAAATTCATATTGCTCAATTTTGTCATTTGGATCTGATATATCCCTCATTATAAAAGTGCCTCATATATGCCCTTACCGTTATACGAATGACTCACATATACTATTTTTTAAATTCATATTTTTTCGCTTATCATTTGTGTAACATGTCTTTTTCAAACTATATATGTTCAATTTTGTCATTTAGATCTGATATATCCCTCATTATAAAAGTGGCTCATATATGCCCTTACCGTTATACGAATGACTCACATATACTATTTTTTAAATTCATATTTTTCTGCTTATCATTTGTGTAACATGTCTTTTTCAAACTATATATGCTCAATTTTGTCATTTGGATCTGATATATCCCTCATTATAAAAGTGGCTCATATATGTCCTTACTGTTATACGAATGACTCACATATACTCCTGCCGTTACAAAATTCGTTATAAAAGTGACTCATATATGCCTTTACCGTTATACGAACGACTCACATATACTCCTGCCGTTACAAAATGGCTCACATATATCCTTCATTTAACGGAAGTTAAAAAAATAGTTTTTAAATTTATATTTATTACTTCTAATTTTTTTAAAATTATTTAGAGGTATATATGATTCTTCTATCAAAGTTCAAGGTATATTTTAATTTTTTTCATACATAAATTATTTTTGACTTCTTTTATTATAATTATTTGAGTTGCTTATTCTTATTTTGTTTTTTTCTTTCATTCCTTAGTTTAAAGAAAAAAAATATAAACTATTTTTTTGTGTGTATTGTAATTTAATTTCATATTCGGAAAAAAAAATTGGTGATCTACAATAAGTTTTACAAGAATATTAGTGAAACATAAATAAATCTGATTATCAAAATAATTATTATAAACTAGTCATTGAAACAAAAAAAAAGTCAAAAAAAATATGTTTGACGAGGATTAAATTTATTCATATGGAATTATATTTTTTTTAAAAAAAAATTAAAATTTAGATTAAATTTTTTTTTTCATTTCCGTTAGAGGATAAGAGTATATGTGAGTCATTTGTTTATAAGTATGGGTATATATTAGTCACTTTCATAACAAGGGATATATCAGCTCTTAATAACAAAGTTGAGGAATATATCAAACCATTTTCCCAATTAATAATAATAAATAAATGTAACATTCTCAACATTATTAACAATTGTAAACATTTAAGGTAATTAGTGTGTCATTAATAAAGGTATTTCTTAATCATTAAAATATATAACATAGTCTTAATAGCATTCAGATACAATCATCATCGTTCATCATTATATGCAAAAAAAAAAAAGATTTTGATTGACAAAAGTAATATTAGATCAAAAAATTTACAAAAGATAAATTGTTCAATTTTCAATTTCTAAGAAAACATAAATAAATTTAGCCTTTTCCCCAAATCATAATTAGAACTATTTTGAAACTAGATGTGATCAAACAAGCAATGACAGAAAAACCTCTTAATCTTTTCTGTTCGTTCCATTTCAATAATTGTTCTTAGTTTTTTTTTCTTTAACTCCCATTAGTAAAAAGAATGAAAACAAGATAGAATTGGGGGGGGGGGGGGGGTTAATAATAGATTTAGCTTAAAATTTTACCTCAGAATAATTGACATTTTAGGATTTTAAAATTAAACTTGGCAGTAATTTGAAATTTACCTTTAATATTAAAGAAGTAATTCTTTTGAATATTGCTAACTTCTCACAAAAAAAAAAAAGGAATATTAAAATGGAACAAGAGGGAGTAATATCCTTAGTTAAGAACATATAAAGAGTTCTCTTATTAATTGTTCTAGATAATATTGTAGGTTAGTTGGAATACTTAACAATGTTTTATTGCTCAAATTTAATGAACATTTTGATGTATTATTGATTTATAATGATAAATAATAATGTGTGGAGACCTTTCTAAGAAAACCCTAAAAACGATTTACAATTTAGGTCTCATTCTTTACTATTTGCCAAAAGCGGATTATTATCTATAGCTATTAACTTTATACTAAAGAACAATTCTCAAGTAAAAATAAAAGCAATGTAAATATGATGATATTTTTTATTTTGAAAAATAAGTAGAATAAATTACATTGGTGGTTGAAGTGAACCTTTCATTAACAACCAACAAGCTTCATAAAGAAAACTAATAATTGAAAGACAAACCAAATCTAGTTTTAAAGATATATTGTTGATACTTTTGTTTTATGTTTTTGAATAAAATCATTGAGTATATGGACTGCATGTGAAGACTTTAAAGAACATGAAAATCAAAATAAATAAAGCCACCAAATTTCATCCACCTTTTGATGAATCTTTTTGTTAATTTTTAACTTTGAAATGACATTGTCATGATTTGTATCAAACCCTCACTCACACTCACACCTTATGTTGGAAGATTTCTTATGTTGGGAAGATCTCTTTAGTACAATAATGTAACATTTTAATATTTCAAATTTGTGTGAAAAAGATTGGTAAATTAACTTTTGAGTAAATTTGTTCCTTTAGTCGTATGACTATTATTGTAATTCTAGAATATTGTTGGTAGAGATAATTTCTTCAAATGTTGATGATATTTTGTTGGAAAAATAAAAAACAGTAGAAACTTTATTTTCTCTGTTTTAAAGAAAAAATGTTTTCATCTTTTCTTTTTAACTTACTCAAGCTAAAAATAAATTCTCCTTTTTCTTTCATTTCTTTTGTTAAATGAAAGTTTAGATTTTTCTCCTTGTTTTAAAAAAAAATATTGGGAAGAGAAACTCTTTCAAAAATTATCTAATTCTTTCTTTAAAATATCAAATGGCTATTAAATTTATCTAAAATAGCAATATTTTTTTTTATAGGATTTGATTGAATTTTTGGACAAAATAGTTCAAGTGCTAAATATTTTTGAACTTCCAATAGCAAAAGTTGAAGGAAAAATTTTATTCTCTCTGAGGCACACATAAATTAAATATTCATGTAATTAACTAATTGATCTACTAAATTCAATTGGCATTATCTATTATTTTCTCCGTTTAAAAAAGAATAACCTCCTTTCCTTTTAATCTATTTTAAAAAGAATGATCTCTTTCTCTTTTTGGTAACATTTTAATTACAACTTTCCACGTGACATGTTTAAGACCACAAAATCAAAGAACAATTTTGTACATTTAATCTAACTTTAATTTAGGATCAAATGATACAAAAGCTTTCTTTATACTCTTAAGTTCCATGCCAAGTCAAACCAAATCATATTCTTTGTGAAACGGAGGGAGTACAAAATACACAATTTATTTAAATTACTT